AGCTGCCCAGGGAGGCTGTAGATGCTCCATCCCTGGAGGTGTTCAAGGCCAGGTTGGATGGGGCCCTGGGCAGCCTGGTCTGCTATTAAATGTGAATGTTGGTGGCCCTGCATGTGGCAGGGGGTTGGAGATTCATGATCCTTGAGGTCCCTTCCAACCCTGGCCATTCTGTGATTTCCCTGTGATTACAGTTTGTTTGTTTGTTTAATGATCGATACTATCTTGCGACACAAATCAAGCTGTTGGCGGTGTTAATTGCACTGAGTTCTCCCCCCAGGTGTGAATCGCCATTTTCACATGATTTGTATCCGAGATAAATTCAGTCAGAATATCGGACGGCAGATTTCTTCCAAAGTGATTTGGGACCATCTGAGCACCATGTATGACATGCAGGCTCTTGTGAGTATAAGGGAGTCCTGACTGGTCGTAATCCCTGGCACCTGACAGCTCTCAAACTACAGAACGCTGTGTGTGTTCCAGTGAGGTGATGAAGTTTTTCCTGTATGAAAGTGCACTGGGTGGGAGGCAATAAAACTTACTGTGTTTTGGTTTGTGTTTTCCTTTTTGCCACACTGAGTTCTGACTTTTTACTGATTTTATTCTCTTTTTATTTTTAATCGCCTAAGAGCTGATCCAGCAAACATTTACACATGTACTTAGGTACCAAACAGACAGCTTATATATATATTTAAGAATTTGCCACAGTGTCGTTCCAGAAATGGTCTCTAATGGTCATGAGTCGTGATCTCAACTTAGGAACCAGTTTGATATCAGGAGCATCCTTACGCTGTAGTATCTGAGAATTGTTAAAAATTATTTGGCTACTAAGTGCACTTAAAATAGAGCTTGAGATTGCATTTCTATTCTCTCTCTATATATATATTTTATTTTTACCAAGATCAATCATAAAAATCTTTATTTTCTTACCAAGCATGAATCTGAGATTCTTCCATTTCCAAATATAGAGAAGAATTTTATTCTTCCTGATGAACTGATTCAAGAAGTGAGAGAAGGTAAGATGTAATAGAAATCTTTTATTTCTTTGTTGCTCTAGGCCCATCACAGAACAAATAGCTTAACAGAACTCCCAGAAAAGAACATAACAATGTACCCTACTAGCATAAATACATGGCTATTCTTTCAGACTGGTGTGTTAGGTGTACTGATGAAAAAGAAGAGAACAGATACATCTCTTGAATCTGCTGGCTGAAGGAAATAATCGGGGAAAGGATCCTGCTGGTGTTGTCATGTTCCCCATTTATCAGCCTCTTTGATTCTCTGCTGTAGAAAGTAGGCTAGTGGGCAAGACAGACCTTTGGTCAAACTCCACGCAGTATTCCTTGTATTCTTAAATGTAATAAAGATGAATGCTAATATGGCACAAGCAGGTTCTGTTTGTACATGCTTGTAGATTCAGCTTCTGGGGGTAGACAAAAAATCCACATGCTTTACTGCTGCCTGTTCGTGTTTCTTTGCAGTTGGTTATTGTGTGGTTTTGCATTTTGTTGAGACTTCTGTTGGATTGAGGTGGACCTTTTTTGCTGAAATTGATCATCTGTGCTCTTTTCTGTGGTCCGTAGCAAGATCTTTTCAGAAGGAAGCTATGGAGTGTAATAACATTTCTCTATATATTTTGTATGTAATATTTCTGTGACTGTATGTTGAATATGAATGATTAAGGCTACTGAACAGCACTGTCAGCAAATGTTTCAAAGCATACACTAGAAATATACTTTTACTGTATATCTATAGTTTCAGTGCAGAAGAAACTTCCATTTGACTTGGACTTGCAGCAAATACCTGTTGCTGGTATAACCCTTGCATTTTTATTGTTAGGACGTGCTTATTTTTAGGATAGTTTGTATGCTTTAATTCTTAAGAACATTACTGTTATGTCTAATGTCTGCACACACTGCACATATGCTGAGGTTGCTAATGGAGGAAACCTCTGTATGGTTCTCCATAACCATCTAACCATTGCTTAATGACCAATTCCATAGGAAAAGTGATGATTGAAGAAGAAATGAAAGAGGAGATAAAAGAAGAGATGGAAACACATGCAGGTCCAGAAGAAGGTAAATTTGTAACTCTCTGCTGTGTAATGAGATTAAAGAAAACAACTGTATTTCTGAAAAATTGATGTTAAAATGTAAATATCATATGTAAATATCATATATAGTGTATTTTGTGATTTCTGTTCAGATGTAAAGAAGTAGAGTAACCTAAGAGTGCACAGAATAAGCAGTTGCCAGTATATGATTCTTCTGGAGATTTCTGCCTTGCTCCTAATTCATGTGTGCAGTTCTGTAGCTTCTAATTTCAGCCTTTCAGTACCTAAAAGGAGCCTATAAACAGGAGGGGAGTCAACTCTTTGAAAAGGTAGATGACTGCAGGACAGTGGTTTTAAGTAGAGGGAGGGGAGATTTAGGTTGGATGTCAGGGGAAGTTCTTCACTACAAGAGTTCCAGCACCTTACTGTAAGAGTGAGGTGCTGGAACAGGCTGCCAAGAGAGGCTGTGGATGCCCCATCCCTGAAGGTGCTCAAGGCCAGGCTGGATGGGGCCCTGGGCAGCCTGGTCTGGTATTAGATATGGAAGTTGGTGGCCCTGCACGTGGCAGGGGGTTGGAGGTTGGTGATCCTTGAGGTCCTTTCCAACCCTGGCCATTCTGTGATATTATTTGTTGAAATTAAATTTCTTTTAATTAAGAGAAATTAAGGCCAGTAAATCAAAACTTGAGATGCTACAATGGGAAGGAGAGCAGAGTGGGATGGGGTTTTGTCTGTTTGTTTGTTTTGCATTATCTTGCCTCTTAAAATGAGGGGAAAGCTTACTTTTGAAAAATGTTTTGCTGTAGAACAAAGTCAAGCACAGACAGTAGAGATCCTGCTATTTCCCTTAACAGACCAAGCCAACTGTTAGCTGCATAATGTCATCATACTGCAGAATAAGTGTTTTAAAGATGAGTGTAATAAAAGGTCTAAAAATGTATTTAAAAATATATGAAATTTCACGTTTTGGGTGTTCTGTTTCAAAACCTATCTCAAATCCCAAATATAATGAGCAGTGCTAATTATAAATCTCACAGATTGGTCCTATATAAAATATTCCCATGAAGTATTTTAAGTGCTGCTGGTTTCCACTTAATGAATGTCATTTCTATCCTTCAACATGCATGCCCATCTTCGAAATCAAGTAATAAAAGAAAGCCATGCCTTTTTAAAAATGAAAGTAGTACTTAAAGGATCTTTAAAGGTGCTGAGAATGTATTTATTGGAAAAGTTTAATGTAATATGAAGAGATTTTATATCAGTTGTTGTTTGCCTACGTGCATGAGTCTGATCTGGACTCATTACTTTGATCCTATTTCAGTTTTTACACCCTCTGGAAGTTTAGGAAAAACAACTGAGAAGCCAAGCAGCAAAGAGAAGGAGAAGACTTTGTCAGATTCTGGGTCCAAAGAAGGATCTGATAAGAGGAAACGCAACAGAGTCACTGAAAAGGTCTTAAATGCCAACAGCAACCCTTCCAGCCCCAGCGCTGCGAAACGACGCAGGACATAAAGCTGTGAACAGCAGAAGTAGCTGACTGTGGAACGTGAGGAGGGAATATTAAAAACAAATAGTAGGATTGTCATCAGATAAACGTTTCTCACAAAGGAAATGATATCTGAGCCAGGTGTTTGAAGAACCTGCACGTTGCCTTTATGCATACAGGACTTTGTGCCCATCCTTGATCTGTTTGTGCCGTGGCACCAGGCTGCACGGTGGCAACCTGCTCAGGGCGCTCAGGGAGAAAGCTGGCAGCAGGGAGGGTTTATGCATATGTAACAGTTGCAGTGTTTGTATTTCCAAGTAGCGCACGCCGTGTTGGAACAGCTCCTGAAAGAAGTGTTCAGTGAGACACAGAACCTCGATTCATGGAAAATACAGGGGTTGTATCTATAAATTTTGAATTGGTTGTTTTCGCCTTTGCTTGGTTGCTGTCTTGAACGTTACAGACCCTCTGTGGGTAATGCTGTTTGGCCATTTGTCCAAACGTACCATTTGTATCAAATATCTGAATCTGTTGGTTCAGTAAAACCAAAATCCTTTTAAATATGACTGCTGTGCTGAGGTATTCTTTCACACCATTTGCTGGAGGAAAATCTACTTCTTTTACCTTTAGTGATGTAACTTTTTTCAATCTTGCTAAGTTTGTATACCGTAACTGAAGTGAAAATGACAACACCTGTAAGAAGGATTATTAACAAGAGTCCTAAATTAAATATCCACTGGACTCGCATGGTTTTGAAAGGGATCAGCTGAGCTGTGCCTAAACTTGGAGATGTTGCTTCATCTGTCTGTACTACAGTCGTACGTAACAGCAGGTTTTGTACTTCATTATTTATTTTTAAGCAGTTTTATTGATGTGGAATTGGTGTTGCAAAGCGTTGTTCCTGTTCTATAATTTAAAATGTTACTGATGTTGTAACACTTATCTTTTATATACCAGAATAGTAAGATTTGATAGAAATTACTATTTTTGAGTTGTGAAAAGATGGACTGCGGTCAACCAACGTGTGAAATGGTGACTGAAAGAGGCTGAAACGTGGCTGAATTTGTCTCACCATATCGACGAGCGGTTAATAAAAAGAATTACTTTATCAGTATTGTCTTTAAGGTGAGGAACCAACAGCTTCCTTTTCACCCCAAGCATGTGTTCACGTGCACTGTGCTGCAGCAGCAGGGGTGTTCCCGCACCCGAGTCTTGCTAATGGAAGGAGAAAAGCTCCCATTCGTACAGCACCCCGTTTCCACCACCGTTTGGCTAGCACGGGAAGAAGAGCCAGTCTCGCTCAGGCCGCTCGTTGCCTGCAGGCTGCCGTTCCCTCCTCTTTTCCCTCAGGTGGACTGGCTGCGGGCCGGGCGGGCGGGCTGGCGCTAGGACCGCGCGGAGCAGCCTGCTGCCCAATGGGGCGCCGCGCCGCAGGAAGAGGGCGGGGCGTGCCGGGCTTCCACCTCCTCCGCCCCGACCCACGTGCTCCGGCTTTGTGCGGGCCGGCCCGGCGTTCCTTTCGCTTTCCTTTTCCTCTGCCGGCTTTCCATGGCGGCCTGGTTCAGTTTCAGGGCGGAGGAGGACGAGGACGGGGACGAGACGTGCTTCTGGAGGTACGACTCCACCTGGGAGGAAGACGACGACGAGGAGGAGGACAAGGATGGCGGTGAAGGCCAGCCTAAGGGAGCGGAGGCGGCCGCCGGGGAGGAGCCGGAGGATGCGGAGAAGTCTGTGCTGAGCTCGCCGCGGGAATCCCGGCAGGCCCAGGTGGGTGCCGGCAGGCCCAGCGGTGCTCCTCAGCTCGCTCGATGCCGGGCTGGAGGCACTGGGGCGGGCGGCAGAGCCCTGCGTGCACCTGTCGGAGCGCCTCCTCCGGCTCCAGTCCCCGACTCCTCGGCGCGTCTCCCCTTGTCCGTACATCTTCCTGGCCCGGCTGCTTTTCCTACTGCCTGTATTTTGGGCCCCTTTTTCCTCCTATCCCGATTTACAGCCGGGGACTGGAGCAGATGAAACGCTTAAAATAAGTCGGAAGGTTTGTATGTTCTGGCAGCGATCGTTAGCGTGTAGTTCTGTCCTCATCTCGATGGAGCCAGTCTTCTAACCTCGAAGAGAGGAGGCAGTGTGAGGCCCACTTGGAAATGATGTCTTTGCGACTCAGCAGTGGCGGAGTTGTGTTGGAGCTTTAAGAACTAACTTTCGTTAGGCTGCTGTGTGCAGGGTTCTCGTATTTTCTTTGCCCTCGCACCCTGTGGTATGGCTGCTTTACCCCATAAATAACATTTTGTCTTCTACATGGTGCAGCATGTTTTCTCCATTGCTTACGGATGCTGTTTTGGCACAATAGCATGGTGTCTGCATCAGATCCTTGCTTTATGTTGATGTCCTCTATAGTGTCCTTTCTCTTTCATGAGAACCATCAGACCATTACTAAAATGAGCTGTGAGTTTTTCTTTCCTTTAGCCTTTTTTTTTTCCTTATGCGAGATATTATTTATATAGCAACTCTCTGAAAAGATCCATTGATGTTCTCAGAACTGCAGTTATATTCTGCAAAATGTTAACACTTGTCTCCATTTTCTTATGTTGATTCAACTTTAGGAGGAGCCTGTCTAATCTGAAGCTGCTGTCTTTACAGTGTTGCTTTGCAAATGCAAAACTATTCAGCCTTTTATGGATCCAGCAGAAACGCTGTTAACTGTTAACTCCTCCCCTTTTGGGGAAATGAAAACTGATCTTTTGCTTCTGGTTTCATTTCAGGGATGCATCCATATTCTCAAGGTGGGAACAAGCAGATAATATATTAGAAACTAATAAAGTTTCTAATACGAATGTATTAGTATTAAACTTTAATCTTTTTTCTTCTATAAACACTAAGTGAATAAAATAACCCTATTTAAAAAAAAAAAAAGTAACTTCTATGCAACACAATATTCCAAACATCAATGACTTAGTACAAAGCCACACCCCCTATACTTCACAAACAAAATCAAAGCTTAAATAGAGCAGCTGGGCATGCACATCTTCATGGGGATGGTGTGAGGCCTATTGACATAGATCTTTGTGAGGTCACAGGTGTTTTAGGTGGAATGGAAGATCCTTCCCTGTTCCTTTATGTGGTTTGCGTTGTTTGATGGCACACGGTCAATTTTCTGTTCTTGATCAGAGCTCTGGTTTTGTTTGTGAATTTTAAAACCTGATAAAATCCCTTGAACTTTCAGATTGTGCTTTCTGATGTTTGTTCTTTAGATTTTTATTTTCTTAGAGCGACTTCTGGATTGTGACAACAGTAAAAGCAAGGACCGTTTTTTTCGCTTTGCCTTGAGGAGGATGTTGTCTCTGGGACTTATGCCCCTGGAATATTGTTCTTCACCTTTAAAGTGGAGCTCTTCCTTCACAGATGGATATATAATCACCTCTGTCTTACAGTGCCTGATTCCTTTTTAAAGGGAGTGAGAATGAGTGCAAAAAGAAACAGTGCATCTTCTGGTATAAGTCTGTGCCTTTGTAACTTGCCAAATCCACAAGTCAGGTTCCAAAATAAGTTCCTACTTCTGCTGATATTACACTAACTTTAATTCTTCTCCCCTCAGCCTAGATGGTATACTATATTCCTGAAGCTGCTAATGTATTTATTGAATACTGAGGTTAGAGGGTTTTTTTTTTTTATTATTTTCACTACACGCTTTCAAAACCTTCAAATTCTTTTATGCTTGCATGTCACTTGTTTCTCTGCAAATACCCCGTATTTGTAATTAAAAATTTCTGCAGGTGGCTTTTTAGCTCTTTTGCACTCCAGTGCTTTAAGGTTCTTCCAAGAGTGACCACAGAACATCTTGGGGCTTATGCTCATCTTCAGAGATCACCTCTTCGTTTGCTGTAGCGCATGGGGTTTGTGCTGCATTGCTCAGAGCCTCGTAACAAGCCCTGTAGTTCTGCCATCTCCTAACTATCTCCCAATGGAAGGCTTCCATCACTCGTCTAAGATTGTCTTCTTTCTTGTTGATAGTCTCTGCATCCTTTCAGCCCTTTCAGTTGGATTTGATTTCCAGTTTCCAGCCAAACACAGTTGGTGTTACCCTTTCCAGCTTTGTTCTCTGCTCTCCTCGTGCTCTTCATGAAACAGTGCACGTTCTGATTGATGCTTCAGCAGTGCTGGAGGTGGAATCCCACCTTAAGTTGCTTATGAGTGTTGTTTGAAATAAGGTTTGATTTTTTTGTATGTGTGTACAAGTTTGTCTCTGTAATCTGGAAAGAAAGTGAAGGTCACATTTCTGTGTGGCTTGTACTGAAGTCTGTAGAAATCCAGGAGCAACACCTCCATGGGCAGAGGGCTGAGTTCTTGCTCTTTGCTTCCCCGCATTGTTTTTCCTCATGTTGTGCTCCAGCCTGCTTGCTTCCTTGACCCAGCTTCCTTCTGAAGCAGCCCGATAGCACCTTACACCGCTGTGCCATGTCTGTCTCTGTATTTATGCTTGTTCTTCAGCTTTAATTTAATTTTTCAGAGTTAAAACTATTTTCCTGTTAACTCAGCTCAGCTAACTGTGTTAAAAAAAAACATTGTTTTTGATTCTGAAGTGAAAGGAACGTCTGAAATTGATTCCTCTGTATTTGGCAGTTCAGTTCTCATTAATTCCTCATGTATCAGGATTTAATCTGTGGAGCTCAAAACTTACAGTTAAGAGAACTGCTGAATCCCAGAGCTCTAAATCTTGGTCAGTGCTTACATCTTGAATGAAAGAATAATATTGATCTGCTTTGGCTGAGCAGATATCTCAGTCTTTTGTTTGCATCCACATTTATTTTCCAAACATTAACTGCATAGCATGGCTTTTTGTAGTTATGTGCATTTCTAGCTGCTCTACTGGCAGGGGGTGTTGCAGCAATGGGATACCAGCGCTTGATTTCTAATCCTGTGTGGAGCATGCAGCTGTGGGAAATGTATTGCAATGTAGACAGGTATTATTTTAGGTCACATTACAGCTTTGTTACATTAAAAAACAAAACACAAAAAAACACAACAACGAAACCACATAAACCTGGAGGTTTGTTTTGTCTGTTTTAATTCCTTTCACCCAAATGAATGGGTACCATAGTGTGTGCAAATGTATATTTAAACGAAATTTAAAAAATTCTTTGTTGATCATCTCCCCACAGCTGTGCCTGCTTCTAATTTCAAGTGCTAAGGGTGGGCAGTACAGTTGGAGGGATTGCTTCATTACAAGGAGGTGCTGGGAAATCTTACCCTGCTGCTGCATTAGTGGAACCACTTCTGGCTGTTTGCTGCTCGATACAAAGTGGTTTTCCTTTTTATTTTTCTCTAGGCAAAGGAAGTAGCAAATGAGGCTTTCAAATAACTTGAGAGACCAGTAGCTGCTTCTTTCCTCTAAGTTTCTTGGAAGGTTTATTTTGCAAGATTCTGCCTGCCTCATCCCTGTTTCAGAGGCTCGACTCTTGCTGGCTATTGCTGAACCCTCTTGCTCCTGTGTGCTTTGCACTGGGTGGATCCTTTTATTCACAGTAATGTTGTTTGTTTTGATGGTTGTGCCTTGATGTTTGTGAGTGCTTTGCAGCCTTTTCATGGTTTGAGACAAGATGGTGTAGCACTCAGCAAGATTCAGCCTCTGTTGCTTACGAGTTGTCACAAAAATCTCTTACCATGGAAGTGATGCACTTAAATGTAAATATACATTAAAAAAAAAAGACATTGTTTGCAACTTCCACTGTTTAGAAGAGTGTTCTTGGTGATTGCTTTGTATGTGTTATGACTATAATGAATCCAGCATGCATGCGTAGCAGGGAGAGCCTGATACCTTTCTGTCAGGCAAACGTGGCAGCACAGGCTTTTTTTCTATAGTAATTTAAATGATTAATAAAACCATGTTAATTCAGTTGTCACTAGGCAAATCTGTCACTTGGCAACTAATAGGGATCATGTGAATTACTGCTATGGTTATCTTCATGTGGTATTACTGTATTGTTTTGTTTCAGTATGTTTCCTTCTAATTGCCTTCTCTTTGTAGGGACAAAGAAGATCCAATTCGTCACCATCGTTTCAGAGGAGTTTTAAGGTAGGCTTGGCACACAGTTAGGTTACTTGGAAACATGAGCAGCAATGAAAATGACGATTGTTATGGGAATAAAACAAATACCTAGTGTGACCATGTGGCTGTTGTTATCTAAAGGAGCACAATGCCAGATCAGCAGGACTGCTCTAGAGTAGAAAGCAAAAAATGAAGAAAATGCACGCTGAATAATGTCTGGAGGAAAGAAGAGTCCTGAATTTAAATGGTCTTTAGGCATCTTGAGTTGTACAGTTTAAAGTATGATCTCTCTTGACTGAAGCACGTAGTGATTCAGGGACAGGCAGATAGAACTTAATTTGTCTACTTAAAACTTTGTGAGTTAACAAACTAAATAAGATTTATCATTCAGGGACTTTCCAGCTAGCTCTGACCATTTCTGTAGGAAAACCTGCCCGGGATAGAAGGCAGACATCAAACATAAAGAGCCCAATAAAACTGGGAAGAAAAATCTTTTGGCTGACTCCAGTAAGAACTGGCTGTTCTTGGGGTGCTGGAGCTGTGGATTGCTGGGCACAGGGGAACAGGTGTGGGAAATGCTGAGTTCAGGCTGCGTTTTTATTTTCAGAAGGCCACGTTATCCTGGGTGTCTGATCTGTGACTTTTCTTTAGATCTCAGGCAGGCGCAACTGGAATGCAGCAAGAGACTTGCAGAGATACAGGCATCGTTACCCGGTATGGACTTCATGAGAGTGCACCTGCTCTCATGGCTTTTCCTTGTTGCATGCTGAGTTTAGGAATGTGTTCTAGCTTTGAAGATGCCCTTTCACCTTCACACTGAGGATTCTAGCTTTAAAGGATTAGTTTATGAAGGGAAGGGATAATGTTCATGTGGGTGCATCAAAAACAAGCTGTTCTTTCCCAGAGGTTTCAAGGACTTAGCCTGTGCTCCTGATGAGAGGGAAAGAGAAGTGCTGAGGTGAGTACTGCATTACTGCTGCTTGTTGATTTCTTGTTCTCGTTTCCAGGGTTTGATAGAATCAGAAACTGATGAGGAAGAAGATATGTGGAACTTGAGCTTCTACAAAAATGAGATTGCTTTTATGCCCCACGGTGAGTACCTTGCTTGATGACTGCTCAGTGCAGCTCTACTGTGGCTGTTGGAGTTGGTGGAGGTGTAGCATAATCCATGTGGAACAACCATTAAAACAGAAACCAAATGAAAAAAAAAAAAACCCTCTACAATTTCCATTTTAAAATGTCTTTGTTCCTGCTGCATTTTCTTTAATTTTCTTTAATTTTCTGTTTGCTGGTTTGAAAAAAATACATGATTCTTTTTTAATTATTCTGACTTCTCAGTATAGTTGTACAGTAGATAAACCAGTGCCTGAATGCTGACCCCTGGCTATGGCTAATGAACTGTCTGGGATGACTGGCTAACTTCAGTTTTCATTTGGTCTCATTTATTCTTGCCTCAGTTTTGTATTTTCTCTGCAGGTTTGCATATTGAAGATCTGCTTGAATCTTGGTGGGACAACTATGAGGTTCTGGAAGAAAACCATTCATACATACAGTGGTAAAATACCTGTGTGAATATAGTGCCTGTGTCAGTTGTATACATGCTGTTGAATTCACCTTCCCATGAAGTCTAGAGTTACTCCTAAGTGAAACTTGCCTTATTTTTTTTTCTCTCTGTACCTTTGGAAGCAATGCTCTGGAAATCCTGAAGACACAGGTTCTCAGTGCAGCTGTGGTAATAGGTCTCAGTAAAGTAATGCTTGGTCTTCTAACGTACTGCAGAACAAAGTTTTACTGGAGTGAGGGTTGGAAATAAGCAAAGTTTAAGTGCTGTTATTTATCACCTTTGTGTACAATTCTCTTATGGAAGGGATTTGTCTTCTAATTAACTACTTCTGTGTTCATAGGAATATGAACTGTCTGTGAGATTCCTGTGATCTCACAATTTCTGGAATCATTTGAGTTTTAAGAGAGCGGGTTCCCTGGGTTGGATATCATCTTTGCTCATCTGGGCTGAAAACTTCTTTCTTCTTAGGCTATTTCCTTTACGTGAACATGGGATGAATTTTCGTGCGAAGCCGCTCACGTGTCAAGAAATTGAGGTATTTAAAGCTTATGTGCCTTTTTTTTTTTTGAAATCTGAACAATGTTAGAATTTTCCCTAAAAGACTTATGTTTAAAGTGTAGGGCTTTTTTTCCTCCCTTGCTTTCTTTGGGCCCTGGTGTGAATAGGTCTCATTCAAGCATTGATTAGCAGTTGTCTGTCTTGTGTGTCTGCCAGTTGCTAGCAGCAGCACATGAAGTGATGGGTGATATAATTACGCCTTGTTTGACATTCAAATCCTGCTTAGGGATGTAGGTTATGAGGGAATTGCAACTTGTGCTCATTGGTCTCTCTTTTTCAGGCCTTGAAGAAGTCAGAGGAAGCTATGGAAAGGTTTATACGTGCTTATCGACTCATGTTGAGATTTTATGGAATAATTCTAGTGAACCAGGAAACTGGAGAACTCAAGAGAGCAGAGAATTGGGCTGAAAGATTTCTAAACTTGAACCGGTGAGTCTTTGTTTGTTTGTACTACTGATCATTTAGCTACAGCCATGCACTTGTTTGAGGAGAAAAAACAGTCAAAGTCAAGAAAATCTTCTGTACCTGACAAATCAAGGCGTTGTTAACACAAAGCTTACCACAGTCAGGGACAAGATATTGGGCTGCATGGTCTTGTATGTATGACCCAATATGGTGGCTGTTTTCTACTGGTGGGTGATTCAGAAAGTCAAATAGTTTTTAAGTAATTGAGTTAATTTCAAGAGGGGTTAGGAAGGTACTGCTGCAGATAGTTGCTGTAAGTCCATTAGAAGTAGGACAAGCTCGTATTTCCATCTGCATTGTGAAATAGCCTTTTATAGATCACTCAAGAGTACACAAAACATTCTGCAGGTGCCCCACAGGTTCATTATGACCTCAGGATTGTAAAGGTTTCACTTAACTTTAATCATCTGTTTGTCTCAGGTTTAGCCACAACAATTTACGGATTACTCGCATCCTGAAGTGCCTGGGGGAGATGGGATATGAACGCTATCAAGTGCACTTGGTAAAGTTTTTCCTAACAGAAACTCTTGTTAATGAGACATTACCAAATGTCAAGAGAAGTGCCTTGGACTACTTCCTGTTCACCATCAGAAGCAAGCAGAAGAGAAGAGAACTAGTCCACTACGCTTGGCAGCACTACAGACCTCAGGGCAGCTTTGTGTGGGGGCCCCATGACAAACTCTTGAAGTACAGACCCCACTCCAACAAGTCAAAGTTGCACCAAAAGGCTGAAAATGAACAGAAAACTCCTGGTAAAAAGATTGATGATTCAGTGGAAGAGGGTCAGAACCAGACTGTAGAGGAGGAGCAGAAGGCTGGTGATGCTGCCGAGTTGCAAACTGAAGCAAATGAAGAGGACACGGCGGAGAAGATAAGCAAATGTGTCTCAAAAGATGGGGATGATGAAGATGAGAAAAAAACTCGATTTGCTCAGCAGGAGAAGGATTGCAACAGTGAGGCTGAATTGCAAGATGCAACAGAGAATGACTGTGGAAAGGAGAGCAAGAAGAGAAAACTGGATGCAAATTTGGCAGACGCCGTAAAGAGCGGACAACTGAAAAGCCCTTCTGACATTGAGAAAATTTCCAGTAATCTGGAAGAATGTGCAATTGATGCAGAAATCCCCTTGGATCCACTCTTACAGTCAGAACAAGACCAAGAAACACCAAAAGAAGAAAATGCAAACCCCAAAGACTTAACAGTGTCAGAGGCTGGTGATGCAGCCATAAAGAGGAGGAAAGTTGATAAGAGAACACAAAGAAATAAAACGTTCAACTTGGCCATCAATCTGAACATGGCCCCACCTGCTCACAGTGCCCAGTCACATCCGTCTGTTTCAAATGCTAAGACTGAAGATGAAAAAGTCAGTGAGAAAAAGGCGGCTGTGAAGGAGATGAGTGAGAAGGCTGAGGGCAATGCAAATGGCGGGGCTCTGAACTCCTCGGCTGCCTCCGTGCTTCCCAGCACTGCTCAGACTTCTCCACTGAGTGATGGCGTGGAGTCAAGTGCAGATCAAGTCACAGCAAAGAGTGATGAGCACCCCTGCAACACCACCCTCCTGGAAGGCAACAGTGAGGTGGGTGGGGTAGAACAGCATAAAAACACAGCAAATGCAAGTGAAAAAGAAGGTGCACAAGCCACAGGCAACGAACAAATTCCAGGGAGTCCTGAGCAGAGCGTTGCATCCTCGTGTGCAGAACAAGGCAGCACTGAGGTTGCAATACAAAGAACGGGTAGCTCTGAGCGTGTTGCAGAGCCTGGTGAAGAGCACATAGCAACAGTGTGAGAGCAGCACGGTGAGCACTCGAGCAAGCAGAGGTGTGCTGCCCTAACTACTGAGAGCCAACTTCTGCAAGCTGTACGCTATGGAGAAAATAAACACTGACTGGGCTGATTCAGGCTCACCCCTGTCTCATTGTCACCCTTCCTCACTTTGATAAGGTCATCAGTAGTGACTCTGCTGAGAACCAGCACTTGGTTGCCCTACAGAGGAAAACTTTAAATTAGTCATCTTCCTCAACAAGCTGTGGTGTTTGTGTTCCTATTTTTTATCTGATGTTCAGAATTCTCTTGGAGCAACAGGGATTTTTGCACTTTGCTTTGCTTCTGGTATGTCCCTTTTTAAAGAAGGAGAATGTTAATCAGTTTCCTTGATTTGATTTAGTATTTAATAAATACATGAATTTTAATGTAAGATAGCATGATGTAATTTGCCAGACCTTTCTATTGCCATATAAATTCTTGGTTGTTTTGGAAGGCAGCACCTTCACAGAAGACTTATTCCTGCAGAGGTGTCTCTTTCCTGGGCCATTTGCCTGAAAGAGATGAGAGCATTATGTAAAGAGATGAGAGATTTTGCATCATATAAGAGTTTTGTTGCCTCTCCTCCTGTAAGAAAACAAGTTTGAATTAAGACCAGGATAAAATGTGTAATATTAATGTGTCTGTGACCGGTATTAACCTTTGTGTACAGATAATGTTCTCCATGGTGCAAAAACATTGGGCTACTTGTTTTCTTTATCCTCTGCAGTTGTTGTTTCGTAGCTTTTGTTGAATTTATTGAGAATACAAATTGTCTACGGGTTTCTAAGAGAAAAACCTTCAGACTTTGCATAAAGCTGTCTGGAGCACCTCTTCCCCTGCTTTTTCCACTGTGTTCAGGAGCTTGGTAGTCTTCCACGTGAACTTACCCACTGCAGATACAAAGCCCTTCCTTCCTTGATTGCTAAAATGGAACAAATGTTTCTGTCGTTGTGTTTTCTCTGATTTTGTTGCTACTTGAAGCGACCTGAGGGGCTTTTTTCTGCTGGCCTGCTGGATGAAGCTGGATGTTTCAGCTCTAACCTGCATCCCAGTTGTGGCAGGATCATTCTACCATTAATGATCAGCTTGTCAGACTGTGAGGTCGTGCTTGAGTGCAGCATGTCTGGTTTCTGCTGGAGCTTTGTTGTGGGTCAGTTAATTGAAGCTTTAATTGGAGGGGATATGCTTGTCTGCTTCATTCATTTACAGCCATCAACAGTTTACTTTCAGACCTCGCCCACTGTTCTCCTGCCTTTATGCTACTGACCTCTCTGCTAGCTGTTCTGCCTGACTTGTGCAGGGTCCAACCGAGTCTGAGGGAATATTAAACAACTTAGCGCTTCTGTTCAGAGAGATTTACAGCAGAGGATCCATTTCGTGAAGCAGAGGAAACGCTTTCACCAGCTGTTGAACAGAGAAGTCCGACCTACTGCTTGCTCAGATTGTTTTACTTTTGGTGTTTTTAGGAGGTGTTTATTTCGTGTAGGAGACAGAGGCTCGCCCACCTCACCAGAGAGCAGATGCAGCAGCCTGTGCAGTGTTTGGCCTCTCTCTGCTACAGCTTCTTGTTTGTTAGAAGCTTCATCTTTCAAGGAACTTGATCTGTGATTTTCCTCCCCAGGCTGCAGGCCCTGCTTCAGCACATCATATCCTCATGTGTGGGAACAGAAGTCTGCAAGCTTAGTATTTAATGGTGATGGTCACACGTGTGCTGGAAAAAGGCTTCAGTGTTTTTAAAATTTTTTCTTTCTTATGAAAAGGTGGTGTTAAATAGCCAATAAGAATGCACTTAGCTCTACAGATATAAAAACTTGAAGATGTTGAGTAAAAATTCTTTCATAAAAGGTTCATAAAGAATTGTTAATCGTGTTTTTTTTTTGTATAGATCTGAGTATTTTATTTAATGACATTTCATTGTGAATATATGCTCAGCTGGGGCATCAATCATAAATCCTGTATGCTAATGTGCAGTTTGTCTTCTGTTTAATGGGATTTCACAGTGAGCCCTAATCTGGAGTGCTCAAAACAAACCTTTCCCTGTTGTATTCAGTTCAGAGTTTCGGCTGTAGGTGTTTGCAGTGAGTTCACAGGATGTATTTCAGCAGTCAGAGCTGTATGACGGTCTGTTGCATTAACATCACCAATTAAAGCATGTATTTAATGCATACCAGTTTCCACTTACGTTTTTCATCTCTGAGGGCAGGATGTGACCATGGATCTGGTCTACCAACCCATCCTGTAGCCATCTGCAGTTGCTTTGGAACCTCCCAAGTGTATGTGATGGAAAGCTACAGTGATGCTCTGTAGGATAAACCAGGACTTCCTTTTTGAGCAGTTTCCAGTGTGCGTACGGAAGCTTTAGCTGTAGGGCCTCTCCCTTTGGGACATGAGATAAAACTCTTTTTCAGTAAACCCTTTCTGAGCTGAAAATGTCATCCTTCCTTCATCTTAACAAATGCATGCCACAGCTGTTGAGAGGAGCTGGGGAAAGCTGGATCTGCTCTGCCATCAGTTGGTCTCTTTGAAGGAGAAGGTACGAGCTGTGAAGTTCCTGTGGGGTTTGAGCTGTCTAACAAGCATTCAATTTATTTTTAAGCTGTGTGAACACAGGCATACTCTCCTTTTCTGTCCCTGCCTGACTGTTCCAAAAATTCTTGTAGATGCTGGTAAATGTTTGAGCCCTCTAAGTCTCTGTAAAAGCTGGTGGTGAAATACGGGCTGCTGGAGAGCTGGGCAGACATGCACTATTTGCCCATACAAACCTGGTGTCAGGATGTCAAATAGAAGTCTTGGGATTAAATTTGTAAAGCCTTGGTTTTCTACTGCTCTCCTCTTGATAACCAAATTAGCTGTTTTATTCCTGTCCTGATGAGTCCTACGGTTTATTCTCTCTATTTCCAAGTATTGCTTTGGATGAAGTTGTCTTTAATTCAAAAAGGGAAACCTGAAGCTGTCTGCTTCATTGTGAACAGGCTGCTGTTTGGGATCACCTTTTGGGGATCAGTTTGGCAGCTCTTGCCCTGCTCCTTCCTTGCAAATATTTCAGAGGCAGTTCTTCCTTAATTCCTTGTAGTTCCAAGAATTTTTCCTTCTTTCTTCCTGCTTGTGTCTCTGTAGTCATCTCTCCTCTGGTCAGGATTCATCACTTCCTCGAGAAATAAGCCTGGCGTTCTTTGGGTTTCCCTCGAGGAAAAACAAAAAAACAGTTGTGGCAGAGCTAACAAACCATCTCACAAAGCAGTAAGTGCATTTCTCTGTAATTCTTGCACTCGTTACATGTATAATAATTTTTTCAAGTAGCCTCAGGCAGTGGATGACTGTTACTTTTTCATCTGTCCAGCACTGAAGTGATGATGCGCTTTGAGAAGTGCCTCAGCTGAGACCTAAGGAACGATGCATTTCCAGCTGCAGATGCAGAATTTTCTCCTGTGTGTGTCTATAGTTCAGTTGTTCCTTATGTTTCTTCCCTACTTGCTGGGGCTGCCCAGCAGGGCATGAATGAGAGCCTCTCTTCATGACTGCCTGCTGCTCCCCCTCCTGCTCCCACCTCCTTGCAAAGCCTTCTCTTTCCTCTGGGCTCAGCCCCTCTTGCCTGTGCTCCTGAGCACTGCCCCTCCAGTGGGAGCTGCAGGTTTATCTGGAGGCGAGAAGTCTCATTTGTAAGCCAAGATCCAGGGGGAGAGAAACGGTTTGGCTGCCCAGGAGTAAAAAGGAGAGACAGAGCCTGGGTACGATGACTGTATTCCCCACTCTTGGGCTTCTCTTCCTTTGTCAGCTATTAGCCGCAACATCAGCTCAGGTAAGAATTTTCACGTTGGTTTTATGCTCAAGAAATGAGTGTCTAAGAGAAAGACGTTGCAATGTGTGTATGCTATAACTACAGAATGAAACGTGGGAATAGCAGGTCATTAGAGTTGATTTAAAGCATGCACTCTCCATGCTTAGCGAGGAGCTGTTTTCATACCTGCATCAGTAGGCTTTTACTTTGCGTTCTTGTGTGCAGGAGTTGCTTTACACTTTCTGTGCAAGTACTGTTTTTTTCAATTAGAGCTGCAAGAGATAAAGCCCTAGGAAAGGGAGAGTTGTTATAAGAGAAACAGGTTTTTTTCATAGTGAAGCAATGAGTTGCCCGTGAGACTGGGATCTCTTGATCTGGTTCTCCGTGAGTCAGAGAATGTTTTATTCTTTCCCTCTGAATTTTTAAAACTTCACATTTATGAAATAATGTACTGAATCCTTATTCACTTTGCTTGTGAAGCTATATTCAACTTCCCTGCATGATGTTAATATTTTTGCCTGGGGAAGTAACTCCTCAGTGAGTTGTTTTTTTTTTGTTGTGCCAGTAAGGAATTTTTGCAGTCTGGCTTGGAAATTCAGAGCTGCCCTCATCTGCTGTGAGCAGAGCTGCTTCCACAATGAAACCTTTGTTTTGCCAATGCTAAAGCAAGTTGCTCTCTGGAGTCCTCTCAATACAGAAGTCATTTATCAGACCTTTCTTTCCTTCCCCCAACCTCACACATCCAAAATCCCAGATTTTCAAATGACATCCTGCTCAGAGAGGAGACTTCTTTCCTTTTCTTATTCTGACTTCAGCAGAATCCTGTCTCCATCACCGCCATCAGGCTGGGACTGAATGCGTTTTTAATGCTACACATTATCACTTATTTTCCATGGACCTCTACCCCGTAAGGATCATTCCTATAGGCAGTGAGGAACACAGCCTGTACAACCAAGCCCGTTTGCTTCCCATCTCTCCTTCCTGTTAAAGGGGCTAGAGACCCTGAGGCTGTGCTCACTTAAAAATGTTTTCCAAAGAGCCTTGCTTTGAGCTCCTTCAAGTTTGCCCAGAATGGTGCAGGGCCCTTTGAGGTGAAGCAGCTGTGGAACTCAATGATTGCTTTCTTATTTAGCTTGTGTGTTCATTCTGATGGAAAAATAACCTTTCTTCCTCTTCATCCCCCCGATCCTCTCAGAGAGTAGGACCACAAGGCCCTCCTGGACCCCGAGGACCCCCTGGACCATCTGGCAAGGACGGCATAGATGTGAGTGCCACATGGCAGAGGGAGGGAGGGGGTGGAGCGGAGGCAGGGCGAGCTGAGCTGAGAAGTGCTGCTGGTCCTCCTGAGCCTTTGGATCATGCTGCAGAGGTGGATGGATGCGGAGAAGAAGATCTTGTCCTGCAACGGTTAGAATGGAGAATAGAATGGAGAATAGAGGCACTGAGTGACCTTCTTCACTGTGGGATCTGTACCCCATATCAGGAGAGTTCAGGACAAAAGTAGCGTGTGTACAAGAATTCACGGCTATGCCTGCAGAGCTGTGCTTTTCTCTTTTGCTGTCTGGAGAGGAGGGGGGAACAAAATGTGGAAAGTTGAGTGCATGAATGTGATAGGGGTCAGTGTTACTGCATGTTGTGTAGCTCAGAGGGGTTTGTGGTGCTTCAGAGCATCCATGGTCATGGAGAGTCTGAAGAAACTCGACATGGATGCTGCTCTTATGTATGTTTTATTTCAGCAGAATCAGTGCAGTATCTGCAATCTACACTGACGTGTGCAAAGTCAGAATCTGGCCCACTGGTTTTCAGACATGAGTTGCTTTCAGTGGCACAAACAGAAAAAAAAAAACCTTTATTTCAAGGGGCAGTTCTGTAGGTGTACCTGTGTCCTGTGTAGGTAGAATGCTGTGTACCCCAGGAGATATCAGAGAGGGAAAAAAATCTTGTCCTATTGCCTTTAATAGCTGTCTCCATAGAAATTAAACATTGCTTCTGTGACTCTGGTGGAGAAGAACTGTTTGCTCTGCAGGTGACAGTGGGTTAGAGTATCAGATAAATGTTCAGCAGGATGGTATCAAATACAGAAGACCAGTTTCCTGTTTTGTTGCTCCTTTTGAGTAGTGCTTACTGCAATTGGGCCTTTTAGCAGCCTTGAAAAACTCTATTTACTCCCTGCAGGTCATTTGCTTTTGGAAAAGAATGTAAAGGGGAAAAAAAAAAAAAAGATATATGTTAGCTCCCTGGTAAGCAGTGAACAAGGAGCTTTTTTGTTTGCAGTGGAGAGCTTTCATAGAGGCTGTGTGAGCAATGCTGGTCTGAAGAGAAAACCTCATTGATTTGCAGCTATTCCCTCTGAAGTGTCCTTTCAACTAAAGGAAGCTGTTTTACTGGAAATCTCACTCTGGTTTTGTAGCAAGTGAAGTTCAGAGCTGATATCTCCCCGCTGTTCTTTGTGATAAAAGGCCGAAGGGGAGGAGGGCAAAGGAAACACATTCCTTGCAGCTGCAGGGAGCCCATGGTGTCTGTGGCTTTGTGGAATGGGGACTGGTTTTGTATGCAGAGGAGTTCTGTATAAAGAGGAATTTAGGGGGGACAAAGTCCTTCAGGTTGTAACCAACTTGTAGGTAACAGCGTTCGGAAGGAAACAAATCCCTGTGATCCCGCTGTTCTGCCCCTTTCTACAGCATGTTTTACACCTTATTCAGGAGCTTCATCAGCATTGCTTCTGATGGTTGTTGGAAATGGGAACCTGGGGAAACATTTAGAGTGAATCTACACCTTTTTATCCACTGCTAAAAGCTTCAGAAAGTTCCAGGTGGGACAAGACTAGCATCTAATTATTGTGAAGAACTTAGTCCTAATAAATCAAACCGCTGAGTAAAGAGTTTGAAGCACCAAGTCTTGCAATCCCACCTTCAGACGTGGAGTTCTGCCTGCATGGGAGCAGTCTGCCATTCAAACAGGCACAAACTACAGCCCTCATTCAGATGCAGGTTGAGTCAGGTGCCCCGTTAACATGAGATGAAGCCAGCTGTTCAGAGATAGCTTCTGCAGTCCAATCAGGCAGTCAGACCTTTAGAGAACTGCATAAAGGAAGAGACTTGTGGCTGTGGCTGGTGTTGAGGATGCTCATGCAGCGTTCCAGTTGAAGGGCTACTGTTTTTCTGGCAGTACCCTCCAAAAAGTTATGCCATATAAAATGCATCAATGGATGGAACCTGAGTAGTATTATCAATTCTGTAAGGAATGAAGGCACTTCATTATTTTTCTGAAATGGTGCAACTTTTTTTAAAGCACAGTCAGAACTCTTCTGGCCCTATATGTGCAAGTTGTCTGAATTCTGTAGGCCACTCCTGCTGGATCAGCTTCACAGATGGCTTTGGAAGGATGCTGTGTGGGAAGAGTTGCTCTGAGATTGATGAGTGGTGTCAAAGTGCTCAGTGCTTCCATACCATAGGCCCTGAGCCATGAGTGGTGCTCAAAATGCAACTGAGTTAGTCGGAATATCTTGGAATAAACACCACACGTACAATTTCTAGAAGCTGCTGCTGTTGTTCCTTCCTTCGTTGAGAGCTGCAGCATTCAGTTCCTCTGAAATCTTTATAATTACAGCCTTTAACATGCTTCACATTTCATACGCAGCACCAAACAAAATCTCCCTCCCAAGAATAGGAACAGCATGTTGTGATCAAAAGAATTAGTGCCAAGTTCCTGTGAATTATTTCTAGGAATGTAATTCCCCAAATTGCTAATAAGCAATTGTCGCTGTTCAAAAATCAAGCTCTTTATTTTTTTTCCCCCACTTTTCATCTCATGGCTTGACTTTAATGCAGGCTTGCTAAGAAAGAGTAAACTGACTTCCTTCTCATGAAGCACCCAGGGGAGCACTTCCTTTTGCTGACAACCTTTGCCTCTAATTCCCAGTGATCTGGCATTAAGGGCATAAACACTTATTAGGCTTTTGATTCATCTGACCGAAGTTCTGGAGCTCCTGCAGAGTCCCTCAGGGGTCCTTGATGGCAGGATCAAGGTCTAAGATGGTCCCAAACAGCATTTACTAATGCTGTGGCCTTGCTGTATGGATTGCCACAGGAGTGAGGGGGGAAAAAATGTGCAAAGGGTTGGAAATGTAGTGTGGTGAAGGAGGGATGCTGCCTTTCCAAGCCATTCATTGCAGAAGAACTGCTCCTTTCATTCCTTTGGCAAGGGACCTTCCCCACCTATGATCACGATAACTATTTATGGAAAGTCTGTGGGTAATGAACAGCAAAAGGGTTTCTTCATCAAGCCAGAGCACAATGCCACCTCTGTGCAATGTCCCTCTGGTCTGAGCATTGATCAGCCACCAGCACAGTGTGTAAGTCCATGGCTGAGCAAATCAAAGCCAGTCTATAGGGCAGCCCAGGGCCTTCACAGCTGCCGACACAGTAAATGCAGAACTGTGCTATAAATTGCACACCTTTGTTTACTGCCTAATAACCCCTAATTATCAGACCAATGGCATGAATGGGTTATTTCTAACCTTGCTCGGTTAGCAAGCAGTCTTTTTCCATACAGATTTTTCTCTTCCAGGATATCAACATGCCCCGTGCCCCCTCCTCACCCACAAAAAATGAGCTGCTCACACTATTAAAGTACTTACCCTGAAGCCAGGAGTAGAAGTCCTCGTCCAGGGACCTAAGCTGGGACATGGAGGCGCAAAACAATTTGCCTCCAGACAAAGCAAGGAACTGAGCTGAGACTGTCAAGTTTCAGCAGGCTCCTGTCTTTTGCAGACAATTGTTTTTTTTTACAGAGACTGACAATAAAACACAAATATCTTCTGGGATATTCTCGTCTGGGTTCTGTGTGAGCTCCTGAATGGCATCATGGCTGGCTGAGCTGAAGGAGCAATTCAGAGGCTTTTTAAATAAAAAAAATATTGCCTTCCAGGCAATAACTCAGTTTCCATTAGGATCAGAAAAAGAAAAAAAGAGCACTTTTTAAAGTAAATACTTTATTTTTTTAAATCAAACTTGGATTTCATCCAGGTTGTGCAGTGGGATTAGGTTGAAATCAGTTGGGCGTTTTGTTCATTTGCTTTTCCTGTCCACGTTTAGTCATATGAAGAAACCTGCAGGAGACTTTTCTTCCCTTTTTGTTAGTTCCAAACTTCTGGTAGCACCACCATTTCGTAGTGGGTCCTGGATACCTGGATCTCATGGCATCTCTGTTTTGTCATGGAAGATATTTGAAAATCGTAGTCTCCATCCAGCTTCCTCTGTGCCTCGCTTGCTGCTAAGTCAAAGTGCAAACAGTTCCTAAGCATATGTGGAAGGAAATGCAGATGTTGGGGATGGTTCAGAACACTCTCTAGTGATACCCTCATGCTCAGCCTCCCAGACTGCTACTGGCAATGTGAAAAGGGTTATCCAGGTTCATCTTGCTTTAGGAGGTAACAGGATCCCATAGCATTGCCTTCTTCATTCTGAGCATGGCAAATCTTGGAGTGGGCATGGAGGGAGCTGTGAGCACCGTGGCTGTTGTGCGTACTGCTGTCACAAGAAGCCAACAGAAAGGAGAAGTTCATCACTAACACTGATGTCTTTTCTCTTTTTACTCAGGGTGAGCCGGGCCCTCCTGGTTTGCCAGGCCCACCAGTAAGTATTACCTGGCTGATGCCAACTTATTTGTTCCCTTAGGAAGAAGCGATGCACAGGAGCTCAGTCTTATGGCTCCCTTTCCTCTTGATCTGCAGCAGCATTTCCATAACTCAGCACTGGTTCTGGGGAGAAACAAAATTTTTTGTTTCGTTGCTAGAGGAGGACGTGCATGCATGGGGGTTGAAACAGGATGATCATAATGGTCCTTTTCAACTCGGGCCATTCTATGATTCTATACGTGAAATACAGCTCACCCATCAGCAGTGTAACAAAAACTGGCACCTAGCCATGTATGCATGTTTATTTTTGGTGTCAGTTTAGATCTACTTCAACTCCCAGTCTGTCACGTGGTGGTGGAAAGTGTGGCGTAGCTCTGCTTTGGGTCACCTGTCCTGTCCCTTTGTTTGTGTTGCATATGCCATCCCCTTCTTCTATTAGGAGCAGCTTAAGGGTAGCTGTGTCTGTGAATAGGGTTGTGGAGAACTGAGCTAAAGCGCTGAAACATTTAGGATTTGGATATGGGTTCATGACAAATTTCACTTCTTGGGAGTAATTCTATGTTATATGGTGTAAGATGAACACATCAACAGATGAACCTCCATCTTGTAGTCTTTATGAACACGTGACGTGTTTCATTTGTTATGGTATAAAGAATTGCCTGTTTTCTGATTTAGGGACCAAAGGGTGCACCAGGAAAGCCTGGAGCAGCTGGTGAAGCTGGGCTGCCTGGCCTTCCTGGAGTAGACGTGAGTATTTTGTCATCTCCTCTTAAGCTGTTTAAGCATTTCATATACATGAATGTTGTTCTGCATCTCATCAACTTGCTCTGTACCTACTGGAGAAGTAAAGCGAGTACTGAAGGTGCATCTTATAAATCAGGAGAAGTTTTGAGAGTTGAAAGCATCTTTAGATTGAACTAAGCAGTATGAGAGTGATTTTGGGATGCAGAACTGATAGGACAGCACAGTTACGATGAAACATTGCAGCTCTTGGGCAGTGTGCTAGGCAGGGCTGGAGAAGTAGGAACATCTGTTGGTATCTTGAAAGCAAACCACTTGAGCTTGATTTTGGAGATCCAGTGTTACTTATTTGCTTGAAGCTTGCTGCTCTCTTGCCTGTTTGTTTGTTTGTTTTTTCTGTTCAGAGCTGGACAGGTGACTGTATATAGTGAAGTTTTCCCAACTTAACAACTTACTGCCATAATAACAGAGCATAGCCAGCATATTTTCTTCTACTTCAGGCTAAGAGGAAGCATTGAGGCAGCTTCTACAGCTAAGTTGGGGACAGCAACTCAGTAAACTCCAACAACAAGATCTCTTGGTGGTGTTCATCTGTACTTAAAATGCATGGGGTATTTGCTTCTGGTCTTCTGTTTAACTGCAGAGGGAACTGAAGAGGTTGGGCTTTCCTGAAAGTTTGACATACAGGTGGTATATGACAGTGACAGGAGTTTCCTACAGCTCTTGATCTGTGTTTCTCTGTCTTTACGTTTATTCTTGTATTTCCACAGGGTTTAACGGGAACTGATGGCCCTCCTGGCCCAAATGGGCCTCCAGGAGACCGTGTGAGTACCACACTGCATCCCCAGTGCCTTGAAATGGAGCTCTGTCATTGCTTACATTGATGATTCCTCCTACCTTTGTGAATTGGTGACACTGGGGAATTGATGATGGCGGGTTATTTGTCTGTGAACCCTTGCAGAATGCTTAGACCTTTGAAACGAAGACCCAAATGGTTTTTCTGTAGGTGCAAGGCATGGGATCCATCTTTCTTTCACATGATTTTGAATGAGCTTTGGATAGTTTTAGTGCAAATACTTAATGCAAATACTTTAGTGCAGAACATCTCTTGTGGTATTTTGAGCATCCAAAAGCGCAATCCGTAGACTTAATTAAAGCATTTATCAAAGTGAAGCTCTTTGGGTCTTTATTTTCAGGCTGATTTTGCAGTTCTGTTATGGATATAATTACATTAGCTGTTCAGACTTTTGCCTTTTGTTAATTCTGAGGCTGTCCATGTGGTTGGCGTTATTAGCTGCTTTGGAATAAATTTCCCTGGTTGATATAGAAAGAAAAAAAAAAAGGTTCTTCTTACTTCTTATGTATTATGGCTCTGCTGAAGGACACTACAGGGAGAAAAGGCTGTCTGTGATGCTACAGGTGTCCTTCAGGTCATCTATAATGGGGCCAGAAAGATATGTAGGCCTCCGTTATGACACTGGGAACACAGCATAGGTGAGCCATTCAGCACAGATTTTACCCATGGCCATCCTCCTCTCTTCTATCACAAGCCATTACGGGTTGTTATGAGCTGGTCCACAGTTCTCTTGAACTTGGGGCTGCAGTGATGGGCTCAACACAGATTGCAGTGTGCAGAGGTTAAAAAGAAGAAAGTAGTGCTGCTGGCAGACCTCTCTAGCATGTTCAGTATTTCTCAATCTATATGTATATATATATTTTTTTTATTTATATATATATATATATACATTTGCCCCAGAGACTCAACCAAAGCACAGAACTCTGAGTTGTCTTAGTTAAAGCAATGAGTGGTAGAGCCATGTGTCTTTGATACTCTCTTCTTCCTTTCCCATGTGCAAGGCAAAATTAGCTTGCCCTTTGGGGAAGTTGAACCCAAGCATCCCGACCACAGCTCTGAGCTTCTATTCATCAGCACTGCACTAAACATCTTGCATCCTGCACTCTTCTTATGATAAACCTGTCTCCCCAGAGTCGCATCTCAGACTGTGATGAGACTTCAGGAAACTGAGCTCTGATTTTTGAAATAGAAATGTTAAGGAGTACACAGAAAACTGTGAGATTCTGTTCCCCTGTTTCACGTTCAGTGGTAACATTTGGCCATGCCTACTTTAGCTTATGAAGTCTGAGTTAGCAGGGTAATGGAGCAGATAATTCCTGGGCACCAGAACTTCCCCTCCAAGTATTTGGTAGGAGCACACAAACAGTGTTCTAGCACACAGAGTTACTGTAACTGTGTGTAACTGTGTACTGAGTAACTTTGTGTTCTGATTCGACATGATTTCCCCTGTCTCTTAACTCAGTCTGTCAGCACGGGGCAAACTTGGGGCATGTTGTCACTTATGGGGGTTTTTCGAGGTCAGTGATCTGTCTGGAAAATCATTTTAATTGGACTAATAAAAGCCTGCAAAAAGAAAAGAAGCTCTACAAGCCCTATCACTCTAAAAGGGCAGCATGGTTATCCTGACTTTCTTTCTTTTGCACACGTTTAAGAAGGCAGCTGGGTCCTGTGGGAATCACTGAAAGCAGCAGATGTCCATTGACTGCTGTGGGATTGAATGCATGTGTAGCACTATGCCTTGTTATGAATAGACATGTATTTCTGAACTGAAGTGCCTGAGAGTGAAGTTGTTTGGCAAATGGAAGTGGGCTCCTGGGTGGTTGTTTTTAGCTGTGCATTATTTATTTATGAGCTCATAATGCCATATTAATCAAGAATTTCCTGCTCTCAATAGTTGTGTATTCATAAAGTGTATGGATTTAAAATGGAAAATCAGGGTAAGATTGTTTTCAATAGAGAAAGAACATTGTTATCAGGAGAATGAGTTGAGTCAGTGTTATTAAAGTAGAGGTGTAAATTAGAGTTTTTCATTAAGATTTAATGGAGTCACATCAGCTTGCTCAGGGGCTCGGTGATTCATGACTGCACCAAAAATGTTCACCACTGACTGCTCCACCCCACACCCTCAATATTAGGGAGAGGAAAAGACCAGCACTTGGTACTTTGAGAACAGTGGCAAAGCAAAAGGGGCTTGTCCAGCTTTTTTGTGTGTGTGGGAGCAGGATTAAGGGTGTAAATCGCCCTTAAGGAGTCTACCTTAAGGGTGTAAATCGCCCTTAAGGAGTCTACCTTAAGGGTGTAGATGCTGGAAATTCTGTGTTTTTTTTTCACAAGGAGAGATCTCAGCTCATCCCATAGGCTCTGGTGTACAAAGACTTCAGCCTAAAGAGAAGACTGACCGGGTGAAAACCAGAGTAACCTGCAAGAAGAATGAATGAGCTGACATCTGCAGCAGAGCTGATTTTGATTGGATTACACTCCTCCCCTCACAAGGCTATTCTTAATGAGGCACTCGGGTCCTCATATCTTTCTCTTCAGATTTAACAAGTGAAAACATTTCTAATCTCATTTGGTACGCCCAACACTATAAGAAAGGCTGCAGTCATCCTTGGGATCACAGTGAGCAGCCGTGTGCTGGGATGCTTTCCTGGTTCCTGGTCTGCCCATCTGCCGTATTACTGTGGTGCTAGGGATGGATATGACTTATTTCAAGCTCAGGAAATCATTCCCCAAATGTGTTTGGTAGAGCATCCTGAGAACTTTTGGAAAGCAGGTTTAGTCAGTCCAGCTGGTGAGAGGCTGAGGAAGGCTCTGCAGTGCAGCAGAGGGGTTGAGAGTAAGCTGACTAGCTCATCATCTTTAGTTAAGCAAATTTTGTTTCAGCAATTTCAAGAATGATTCGAGTCTAAGACATAAGCTTGACTAGAGTTTGGTGATCTTAAGAGGAAGAATGCAAATGGCAAAAAGGAGATTGGGAATTGATTCGCCAAGGAAACCAGTGAGAAGGCAGAAGCTGCCCCATCAAAACCTTTGCCTGCAGGGAGATGCATGATGTGATAATATACGCTGGAACAAATCCAAATCATGTAAATGATTCCAGATAACTTCATCACTGGACCTACATCATGAAAGTACCATGAATGAGAATATTTCAATGAATGAAATTACAGTTTGTGAATGTTTACATGTTCATAGCCAACAAATGGAGGAGGAAGTTTTTGGGGCAAGTTCAGAGCTTAGCTCCCTACTATCTTAGAATATTGTTCAATCAAGTAATTTATAACAACAGGATCATCATTACCCATAGGTTTCTGTCCTTGTACCTGGAAATTTGGCTGAGCATCCCCAACCGTGTGCTGTTTCTATCCATCGCTGCTGGAGTTTCCAAGCAGAGTATTATCAGGCAGAGCAGACATTGATATCTATCTGATATGGGAGTTTCTGATTGACCTGCTAATTTGCATTTTGTTGTTTTATTCCTGTAGGGTGCATTAGGACCTGCTGGGCCACCTGGACCAGCTGTAAGTAACTCCCAGATCTTTGCATGTAAGGGTGGTGGTCATTGTATGCCAGAGTCTGCCCTGAGAGAAGGGGGGGAAGCCAAGAGATCTAAACCTGAATGAGTGAAAATATCATTTTAAGCAGTTAAGTGTCTGTGTTTGAGCTTTTCTGGGGATGTGGAGCCTGTTCTTAGTCTCAGAGATGTTATAAAGTCACCTGACTTGGGATGAAGACTAACATATCAAACCTTCCATCAGATAACATCTTTTGTGTTGTGTAAGTGAAACAAACTTTCATGCATCAAGCTATTTTGCTGCACAAGCATCACTGGCTATTCTGTGCTCATTTTGAACTACGTATTGCTATGTTAAACTTCTCAGTATCTACAGGCAAGTCATATTTAGCTTTGATGTCTATATTGATAGAATAATAGAAGAGTCATGCTAAGTTCATAACGACCAGAACTGATGTCTCTGTAAACAAAGCCCCCTTAAATCTTTTCCATCAAATCAAGTGGTAACTGTATATCCATATTTAGCATCAAGCCTAAGGGTGTCTGAATACAGCTGCTGTTGCATCTACAAAGACACTCAGTTAATGCTAAGCAAGCTAACACCCTTCCCCAGCAATTATCAGTATCTCTGTTTCTTCATGAAGCTGAGCTCAACTGCAGAGCTTGCTATGCAGATTCGAATGCCATCAGCAGATGTAAGCCCTGCCCAGACGTGGCAGCACGATGTGCATAGGTGCTCATTTTGTTGGATGGCCACAGCTAACTCAGTACCCCCACTTCCCTGACCCACGCCTGGATCGCACAGCACAGCACAGCCAGTGGGTGCCAGCTGAGGTCTCAGAAAGAAAACAAATGTTTGAAGATAGGGAAAGCAGATGAATAAGTTAGAATGTTTTCTTCATAAATGTCTCTGTCCCACTACCGTGTCACCGCCGTATGTGGCTTTAATTCTGATCTAATTCTGTGTTCTGATTATGAATTACAGTAAGTGGGGGCAGGAGAGTGCTATGAAAACTGAAAGGAAAATTAAAATTAAGCAGCATTTTCTGAGGTGCTGCTCCTCCTGTTACATGTTCATTTTTTAAGTGATCTCTTTCAAATGTTGTTTCCAGGGTAAAGGACTACCAGGACCTCCAGTAAGTAATGAGATTCTTTTTCAAAAAAAGAGGTTTAAATTACTAATAAGAGATGGATATGGAGTCCTGCAGGTTGGCAGCTTTGTGGACCATTTCTGTGTATCCATACCCTAATGCAGCTGATCACTGCTGTTGATTCGAGGCAGAGCAGCCTTGGCATTGCTGGAAGTGGCCATTTCTGGAGCAGCAGCTTTGGTTCAGCAGGCTCTCAGAGTGCCTCAGAGCTGAGTCAGCGTGGGGCAGATGTTGGCAATGTGTGGCAATGCTAATAGAAAACTCTATGGGAAGGTGGAGCAAGAAGAAAGAAGTGCACTGGCAAACCAGTTGATGGGTGCGGGGCTGGCAATTCTCTGGGTGACAAATGAATACAGCCAGACTGTTTGCCCCTGGGCTTTGGCAGCTACCCAAGGTCACCAAGGTGTAAGAGTTTTTATTCTGTTCAACAGGGGCCTCCAGGACCCAGTGGACTTCCAGGTGGAAATGGATTTCGGGGTCCTCCTGTGAGTTTTTCCCACTTGTCAAACATGCCACAACTACAGAAGAGTGAAGTTCATTTCTGTTTTCTTACCCTGTTCTGGAAGCATGATGCACGAGGCACTGCAAGCTCTACAAATGCACATGGGCAATGCTATCCCTTGTATCATCTTGTGTAGGGTCAGCCTTGTCAACAGTGCAGTGCTTTGCTGTGCAGCTGCTTGCAGACAGATCTTTTACCAACAGTGAGTAACAGCAAAAGAGCAGTCAGTGCCACAAGAAGAGAGATCTGCCCCTTTGGCATGTGCTTCCAGCACCCTCAATAAGAAGCTGTTGAGCAGAAAGAGTCTAATTGGAGGGAGCCCATTCTGTAGAAGCATACCATCATTTTTGGATGCCCATGGCTCCACTGGACAGGAGAGGTACAGAGCCAGTAGAAGCAGGGGGTGTAGATACAGAATATATTCTTCCATCCTACTCCCAGTACTTGCACACGCATCTGTTATTCTCTTCATAGCACCAGAATCCTCTGCAGACAGAAAGGTGCCATTTAGGCTTATTTGAGATACCTTGCCTCACATTCACAAATCTGCAGTGGCATTTGGTAGCTGTCCTTTCTTTCTCTTCATGTTTTTGTCTAAATTGTTATGAAGATAAATTCTTGATATTTTTTCTCTTTTTAGGGGCCTTCTGGTCTGCCAGGATTCCCAGGGCCTCCTGGGCCACCCGGACCTCCTGTAAGTTGAGAGTTGTGAATGAATGTGAGAAACTTCCCATGGGGAGTCTACAATTTTCATCTTGCTGCCAGAACGGGTGTGTTTTATTTGCTGCAATTACCACGAGCACTCCCTCTCTGGGCTGAGTTTCAGCAACCTGTAAACACTGCGCCCTGGGGAGAGCAGTGACTTCACTAGCTGCTCTTCAGTGTGTGGATCATTTCCTGTTTGTTTATTATTTGTTTTGTTTGCTGCTTGCACATCTCTTGAAGATAAAATGTGTGCCAGTCTGGGAGCCCCTGCCACAAGCAGTTTCCCACAGGAGCCCAGATTGTTGGAGTGTGTTCTTGTTGTGCCAGCGAGGGGTCTTGAAACCAGCAAGACTTAGCTTGGCTTTGGAAGGTCAGATTAGCCCCAGATTGGCCTTCCCCCAGTCCCTAAAGAGGGCCAGGTACAGCTGCTCTCCTGAAACTGCTGCCCTCATGGCCCGAGGCTCGAGGACCTCTCCCAGACTAATCTGTGCACCTCCAGTTCGAGTCTGCCGTGTCCGTTTTGAGGACATGCAGCTCATAACTAACACTCTAGGTTCAGGGGCTGTTTCACACCATGTGGCAAGGTATCTGCCCTGTGCTAATTTGGCCAAGCTGGGTTTGTAAGGTGCGTTTTCTGGAGATGATGTTTCTTCATTTGTTTGCCTAGATCTGCTTAAAGACCACTTTTTATGAATTTCAGGGTCTTGCAGGCATCATTCCCGAAGGCGGTGGGGACCTTCAGGTAGGTTTGTCTTGATGTAGCATGAGAATATTTTTGCTGGCATACTTGGAGGAAGGTCAACGTGTGCCATTCAGACCTGCAGACATAGGTCTAGCATGCTGCCATATTGCAGGAAGCGTAAGTGTTGACTGAGGAGGTGTTTGTAAGACTGCAGTGTTCTTGCAAGGAGGTAGATAGATCAGCGCTGATTTTTTCACACGATCTTTGCTTTCCAGTTTGCTTCCCAAATGCAGGTTTTGCATACATCCTTCCTCTACAAAACAACTTTAGCATTTGGCAAGTGGGAACAGATTTTCATGCATCTGTTTCCAATCCTGCTTTGCAAGAGAAAAGGTTGTGCGTGTTGCACTGTTTATTTCTATGGATGATGGCATGGAGCTCCTTTGGGCATATGCTTTGTTTAGACTTTCTTTCTTTATGAGAACGCCTTGATTCCTTTCTTTCAAGGGAATGAAGGGAGTGTTAAGCCCATGAGCGATGGAAGTGACATTTCCAGATTTCACAGCTGTTGTTGTGACAACATCTCTGGTTTCTTAATTGGCATGCCCCAAAAAACTCAGAGTCAGTTTAGACTACCTTATGGCAATTCACATGGAAGTTAATAGGAAAGGATACTATTTCTGCCATTTTAATTTAAGTTACACTGTGGAATATACCCGAAAACTAAATTCTTGTCACGTAGATGTAGCCTGAAGTTTTATTAAAAGAAAAAATAAATAAAATAAAAGCTGCAGAAGAAAATACTGTTCATAACAATACAGTTCTTAGAGAAAGGCTTTTGGAACCCCCATTAAATTTTTATCTATGCTCTGATTCATTCCCACTCAAGCTAGAGTCCCCACCAGAGGCTCAGACAGACCTCGACACCCGCAGGCACCAGCTTGTTGGTATTGGGGTTAATTTGCTATTCATCCCCTTCTGATAAGCCTTAAGTCTTGCCCTTGTTTCAGTTAGGTGAGGTGCCTCATGGAAATCAATAGGGGTCAATGCATGCATAGAAATGTTCCTAATGATTTCTAAGGTATCTGTGCTGCTTTGCTGAGGACCTGTGGTTCTCCATTACTTCTGGATAGCTGTCAGCCTTCAGAATTCCTCATGCAAGCATGCTCTGAGTGAAACTGACCAAGCAGAAATCATTATTTTGTGGGTTGCTATGGGCCTGAGAACCTGTTTTAGGACCCCTTTCCCGTAGGGAAATGCCACTAAGCATGTTATGGTATGAGTGAGTTAGTGGATTTAGAGCCTGCTTCCAGACATGGCCCTTTCCTTTACTAATGAAACCCACTTCCATGGATGCACTGTGTGCATTCACTAACCCAGAGTGCTCCTGTTTCTTGCAGTGCCCAGCTCTGTGCCCACCGGGTCCTCCTGGTCCTCCAGGAATGCCAGGCTTCAAGGTAAGAAAAATGCTATCTGCAGTGACAAAGGTGTCTCCCAAAACAGATGTCACTGTGAACCCCGGGCAGCTTTCTGTTTACTTGGTTGTGGTACCTAAATTCTAGGTTGCAGCCCTCAGGAAACCACACTCAGTAGTTAAACTTCTCTTTCTGTGCCCCCTACTCCAGTGTGAATTCTGAAGAGCAGATGCGCTCCAGCAAGCCCTATGATGCAGGTGTTAAAGATGACTTAAACAAAAAAGAGAGGCTAAAAATGTGGAAAACGGTTTTCAGAAACATCTCAGCCCCGTGTTCAGAAATGATGGAGCTGAGTTCTGCTGACTGACCGTAACTGAGAATTGCACCTGGACACCTGTAGCCTGTTCCCCATGCAACTCAAGTCTGGGTATTTCCTGACACAAGGTCTGTTTTGATGGGGTGATGCCAAGCAGGACTGACAGGAACAGGGCAGGACTGGCTGGCTCCAGAACTGACCTGAATTTTCACAATTACATGTATATGTATTATTTCCCTGGTTCTTTCCATTGGGTGGATTTAGGACGTGATATTATCTGATAAAATTTGAGTTCTGTAACAAGACTGTACTGGAATTGGGGTAACTTGAGCTCTTATTTCTAGGGACACACTGGTCACAAAGGAGAACCTGGTGAAATAGGCAAAGAAGGAGAGAAGGTAAACTTCAATCTAAGGGGTGGGGAGGGACTTTGGCACTTAAAAACACCACAGTAAACAGTTCTATTGAGGAGACAGGGAGATGTAAGGCAATGAGCTGAACAGCAAAGGGAAGTTATGCCTGAAGTCTAATTGCTTCTGTTGCTCTGCATGTATGTCTGTGTGCTACTACTTCAAGGAGATTCATCTTCCCAACAATCTTCTTGTTAAGATCAGCTCCATAAGTTAATGCTATTGTTTCGTATGCAGGGATGTCAGCTCAGGAAAAAGCCATGCATTGATCATTCAGGTAAACCCCTGGCTGATGGAGTGTTCTTGCACGTAGAAGAAATTGCAGGTGATGTAGAAGCAAAACCTGCAGCAGAAATGTGGGTAGAAGAGAGTTCAGGAAGGAATAGGATGGGAAGGTACTGGCTTTGGGGGCAGGCTCATGCGGCCTCTGCTCTTCCTAATTAATTTTTCTCTTCCAGGGCAGCCCTGGCCCTCCAGGTCCTCCAGGCATCCCTGGCAGCGTTGGCCTGCAGGTAACACCTGCTCTTCAGACTGGTTCCTTTTTGCTTTGAAACTGAATGCTGCCATTGATCATTTCACATTATACAGGCAGTTCTTGCCTCTATAAAAAAAAATATGAGAAAATTGCTGGGGGGGAGAGGAAGGGAAGAAAAACGAAAGTAAAATCATATTAAATTGACAGAGCTTTAGTTCAGGTCTTGGTTTTGGCACCTCACCCTGGATGAAACATCCAAACAAATAGCCTCTGTCTGATAGAGCCCTGGATGCTTTGCCCCTTTCTGATGCTGAGTGCTGGGATGGCTTGACAGCCTGGCAATTGGGCTGGAGAAAGCAGGCAATCGAAAGCTTGGCCACATGGAGTACCTCCACTGTGTCACTTACTCTGAGGTCATCACTGAAGGGGGAAGGATCATTTTTGTGCAACAGGAGACTGAGTTTTCTGCCATTCCCTGGAGTTTCTTAAGGTCTTTTGTGTTGATGAACCGCCGTGCCATTCTGTTTCATCATTTTGTGTTTTAACAGCAATTGGGTTTTAACTGATTTGTTTTCTTAATTAGGGCCCAAGAGGACTAAGAGGTGTCCCTGGTCCAATGGGTCCAGCTGGTGACAGAGTAAGAAAAACTTTGATTTCTCTCCCTACACCATTGATTTGTGCCATGTGAAGTCCTGATGGCAGGTGCCCATTTGTCTTTAATGAAGACCACTGGGGAACCCATAGAGATGCAGATTGCAGCCTCTTTCCTGCACACCTGAACAAAACAACAGAACAAAACAAGGGCAGAATGAATCTGCATACCTGGGGGATTGGCAGGATCAGGCCTGGTGTTGATTGAAACATTCAGACAGGGACAACCTGCTGCCTTTGCAGGACTGACAGCACTAAAGAATCTTGGAAGAAAAACAAACAACTGAGAAATCTATCATGAATATTTCTCTTTCTGTTCTCTCTCTCTAAAAAAAGAGTCAAAGGACTGCTGATGAGCAAAGATTTTCAGGATGTGGAGTCTCTTCAATGAGAATGAGGTCAATATCTCATCATGGCTTTGGAAGCTCACCAGTGTCCCCTGACCATTGTCTTAGAGGCTGAATGGTTTTGAGTCTGATTAAAATCATGCATTGATTTAGGAACGTGAGCAAGATATCAAGGCTGTGAATGATATCAGTGTGTTGCAAACATAATGATGGGGAGATCCGGAGTAAAAACCTGCTTGTCCAGAGAGGGATCTTTTTGCAAGTCTGTATTACAAACTAGTAAGAGATATGAGGTAGCTTTTCAGGGTTTTGTGTGTTTTCTGAGGCTGTGGGATGAGGTAGGGATATTGTTACTTCCCCTCTGCCAACAGCAGCATTAGAATGATGTGTTTTTCTTTGCAGGGTGACATCGGTTTCAGAGGGCCGCCTGGAATCCCAGGACCTCCGGGCAGAGCTGTATGTGCTGCTTTGTGGCCTGCCTTCCACAGCCAAAGCCTAATGTTTGTCCTTTCTGAGCAGAGCTTTCCACTGCCAACGAACAGGAAGGAGAAATACCAACTCCAGCAGATTATTCCCATCACCTTTTTCCCTCCTGTTAAAGCAGTGCCATTTCACCTGACCCAGATCTTACAGTGTCTTTCCCTCTGTCGTGCCTTGTGCCTATTCTGTAGACTTGCCTGTGGATAGAGCCCTGTATACCCACCTTAGTGTGCCCAAATGCAAGACCAGATCTTCATCTGCAGAATTATGGCCTCTGAGAGCATTTTCCATTAGTTCTTCTCCTACGCTGTTTCTGGTGAAAGAAAATGTTTCAGTAAATGAAGGGGAAGACTGTCTCTGCCCTGAGGGATTGCTTGCAAAGTCCTTGCTGCAATTCACCCCTGTGTCAGGAATTACAGAGTGTAACAGAAAGTGCAGCCCAGCTCCTAGGGGAGTGTGTACACTGTACACTCACACCTCTGCTAATGCTTGCAAACAGCAGAAAAAAACCTTCATCGTTTACACTCTGGAAGCATTAGTCTTTGAGAGCAATGAAAATTCTTAATGCTTTTCCCCTTTTGTCTTAGGGAGACCAAGGAATCAAAGGACCTCAAGGATTCAGAGGGCCCAAAGGCGATACTGTAAGTGCAGTAAAACCTCCGTCCCCTTCAGCGTTGGACGTGACATTCAGAGCAGTCTGTCTGACAGCTTTATTAGAGCTTGTCCCCTTGGTTTGCTTTTTGCTTTCGCTGTCCGTTTCTAAAACACAGTAGAATTTGAGAGCCTGTTTGTTACTGGCTGAGGAGCTGTTGCAGGGAGATGGCGTGGTAGAGGGTAACTGGCCATCCTGCCTTGCAGGAGGTTTTGCTCTCAGTGCTGTTTTCTGATGTTTTATCTAATTATGTCTACAAAAAGGGGATAATTGTTCTTATGCATTCTTCTAAAGTACTGCAGGCACTGTGAATAGCAATTAATGGTAGGGATCTGATCTCGTATCTCCATCACTTGAAACAACCAGGAATTGTCTCAGGCACTGCAGCCAGCACTGGCTCACATTTCTGGTGCTTGCTGAAGTCAACTATATGAACAAGACAAGAGTTGGTGCAAACTGAGTGAAATATCCCCGCAGAGTCTGAATATTGTCGTGGTTTACTGATTGTTCATCAGGGTATAACACAGGATTTATAAGGGTGGATATAAGGATTTTATAAGGGTGGATAACACAGGATTTATTGTTGATTTCTAGGGCAGACCCGGACCAAAGGGAAACCCAGGGGCTCGTGGGCTCATAGGAGAACCTGTAAGTCAATTAAGGAGGATGTAAGTCTCTCTGTCTTGCAGATGACAAGATAAAATATGATAGGAGAAATCTTGCATCCTAAATGCTTTTTTATCAAGCCTCTGCTCTGTGAATCTGCATAACCTTCAGTGTAATTCTGGTTAGACCAGACTCTCGTTGCGTTGCTCTTAATGACAAATCTCCCGGTTTCCTACTATAACTGGAGATCCCACTGCCCAAAGGTTCTTTGTTATAAATGTGTTCTGTGACCCCGATGTCTGCCTTGTAACCTTAAGCTGCACTGTATGTGATTGTAGGGCATACCTGGCAAGGATGGACGGGACGGGGCTCCTGGACTCGATGGTGAGAAGGTTTGTAAAGTCCTACTTACACACTGTGCAGGAAAGACTTCTGTTGCTGCCCCGCGGGTGTTGCAAAGCTTCTGATTCTTGTCAAGGAAAAAACACTGCTGGAAAGCTTTTGCTTTTAGTTTTCTGACAATGTGACTAGTGAAGAAGAGGGAAATTACTTATATTAATTAATCCCAAGGAAATTCCCTAAGGAAGGAAGATGCACAGTAAGGTCCTTGCATGTATGATCTGAACTGTGTCCCTGTGCTCTGTGGTTCCTACTGGCTGACTTTAGGCCTTCAGAGATGCACTTTTAAGAGCTGCTGATGGAGACATATGTTTATTTTAATTGCCTACAGACAAAGTTCTGTCAGGTACTCGTTGCCTGATTTTCAAATAGTGATCCCACAGCAACAATGTGCACCACGTGCTGCCAAGAAAGGAAAATTATTGGATTATGAAGGCTGGGAGCTGCAAGGGAACTTGGGAAGCATCCAGCAGCCCTTGTGTCCAGTGGGTACCCACCTCCTATGGGCACAAGGGCTCTTGGTCCTGCACACATGGGGAGGGAGAAGATTGCAAATGCCTGTTAGGGAATGCATCTCCTCCTTGTGTCAGATCATTTTCCAGTAGCAGAAGCTCTCTGCTAACCTCTCGATATCCACAGGGTGATGCAGCTCGTATGGGGGTTCCTGGAGAGAAGGGGCCAAACGGACTTCCTGTGAGTATGGCAGCATTGGCTGCTCGCCTCCAAGGCATTAAGGCAGCGTGGCTGGGAGAGGGAAGCTTCATGTTGTGCACTGTCTCACAAAGGGAAGTGTGTCTCGCAAGAGGAAGTGTGATTTCCCCAACATACAGACAGGGAGCGATGTACAAAATGGGATGGGAAGCATCTGGACTAGCACCAAATAGTAGTGCAGTAAAGCCCTGGCTTCTGGCCATCTGGCCTAATTTAAAATCTAAATCAGAGAGGGATTTTCTCTTTTCCGTCCTAGTGATAAGCATCCCTTATGCAGGGAAGTAAAATCTGGGGTACAGTTAACCATGATTCAGAAGTGTGCTGATCCCTGCCCTATCGGTATGCATTGGCAAAGTGTTTCATGTCTCCAGTCTTCCAACCATTTACATAGAGATAAAGCATTTCTTTCTTCCTGTCTTACAAAATATTTTCAACACCCCAGGAGGGAGGTTTCCACCGTGCAAAATGTTGCTGCTGTTGCGTTATTTGTGTATTTCTCTTCTTTGCTCTAATTGTTAAGGAGTAGTGTGTGTAGAGCAGCTATTACAGTGGAGGAGAGGAAAATGGAAGGCATCATTTGCATGGTGAAAACTGCAGAAATGTAAATTCCTCCATTGCTTCAAGCAAACCACGCTTCATGTGTGACAAATCAGACTAGAATAAATACACTTAAGAGCTTGACTGCTTCTGACATTGCTTTTTTTTTTTTTTGCTTTTTTTCTTTCCCTTCTGTCTTTTCCAGGGACTGCCTGGAAGAGCAGGGATTAAAGGCTCTAAAGGTGAACCAGTAAGTGAGTCAGTCTCTCTAAAGATGGGCTCTGGTGGGGAAGCCATTAACCTGCACAGCAAAAAGGTTTGGTGCCTACAGGTGTGCCCTGCGGGAGGGCTGACCCTCAGTGAGGGTGTCTGTGTTCCTGAGGAGGTAAAGCAACAGAGGTGGCCCTGCTCTTGCTGAGACAGCTGTTGTATCTGGCTCACTGAACATGTACCAGATGCATAGGAGTCTCACCAGTCATTTACTGAAGCTCAGAAGAGAAGTGTGCCCCTTTTTATCAAGGTCCTGAAAGCGAGGTTCATCTTGAGAAAGACTGAGCATTTCCTAGCATTATTATCTCATCTTTCTTTCTGGAGACTTTCCCCCACTACCTCAGGGGAAAAGCTTCCATGGAGCATTAGAGTAACATCTATATTACTCTAGTTATGTCCCAGCACAGGGTGTATTGGTCCCCCATTCTTTAAATGTCCTTTGGATTTCTCTTCTTTGTCCTGAAACTGTAAAAGCTTAAAACTGTCCCCTTATTTTCTGACTCTGTTTTCCAGCTTGTTTCTCTAGATAGGACAGAGATGGCTCTCTGAAACTGGTCCTTAATGAAGTGTTGCTTTTTCCTCTGCAGGGCAGTCCTGGAGAGATGGGAGAGGCAGGTCCCTCTGGAGAGCCAGGTATCCCCGTACGTATCCCCATCATTTACATTTATTGTGAGCTTTGCTGAGTGTGCTTTAAACCAAACTGTGAAGCTGGAGTTGATGTGCTGCTTACCTGCACAAGGAAAGCTCTCAGTAACGAGACAGACAGACAGAGTGGTCCAGTAGATTGCAGTAACCTGGGATCCGCTGTAAAGAGGCTTTACAGTGGGCTGGGGAGGGTGGATTTGCTGCTTCAGAGTTTGCCAGGGATGAACTTTGGTGTTGTTTCAGGGCGACGTTGGTATTCCTGGTGATAGAGGTCTGCCGGGACCCAGAGGAGCAACTGTAAGTATAGTGCTGCTTGTGAACCAGATACCAAAGGAGACCTCAGGACATGCAATTAGGCTCTTCCTAAAATAAATGGCCATGTTCTCTAATTGTATTGCCCTCAGGCAGTTTCAGTTAAGCTATTTCAATGCATGCTGCCACCAGCATTGTTGTCCGTCCCAGTAGAGATGCACTGCAAAACCTGAGCTATCCAAGCAGCAGCACTGCAGAGCCTGTGCACTGCAGTCCTGAGTGACAGGAGCTTAACATGTGCTACAAAGCTGGTAGCCCTGCTGGGAATCTTGTGCCACAAAGGCACAGCGCTGCAATGCTCGAAAAGACCCCAACACTCACAACATATGGTGCAAAGCCAAAGCATTTCTCAGGTGGGAATCTGTTCTCACATTTCTTTGCCCATGCCTGGTACTGCAGCAGTCTTATCTTGCTGTGGGTGTGAAACAAACCCAGGTACTGCGCTGTCAGTTTTCACTTCTGCTTTCTGTACTGACAGCTTTGTGAAACTTTGGGCTGAAGAGCTGAGGTCTCAGTGGTGCATGAGAAACCATTTACTGTCTTATTCCCCACCTGGTGCTACCACTGTAGTTGAACTTGACCTTCTAGTGGTTCTTATGGACTTTTTTGTTTCCTTTTTATCCATTAATCTCATTTTGAAATCCAGAAGCCTGCAGCAAGTCTGACATGATTTCTGGTATGTGCCACTTGGAAGAAATTGAGCAGGATAATGATTTACTGTTTGCATGCAGTTGGTCTTTAGACGCCCAAGGAGAGGGAAATCAGCCTTAGAAATAAACTCTATTCATAATATTTGCTTTTATGTCTGCAATTTTTCATCAAAATTGCCACTACCACAAAAGGTATCGTGTTGTTATAGCTGAAGATCAAGTGCAATTCAGCTAATTACATTGCTGCAGGCTTACGACAGGGATGCCATAGAAGTGGAACCCGTGCTTACTTTTAATATTGGTTTCTAATTTCTGACTTGTGTTATTAGAGTTCTAACTTACACAAAATGTCCTTAAACCTATTCTGGGAGTGAACAGATCGTGTACTTTCATCTTTTGCTGTCACCAATCTCTACCATTCATGAGTACGATGTGTTCTTAACCACAAATTTATGCAAATAAGCATTTTTATTAATGGTAACAGTATATTAACAAGTGTCAGCAAAAACACAAACAAGCACCACTGTGATGGCTGTTCAGCAACACTGCCTCTGGGGAAAGTGTTCTGCAGCATGAAACTGCATCTTTTCTCTGTTAGATGGAGTCATTTAATGACACAGGTGAGTTACCTGAGCCTGAATCATCTCCTTATGTTTTCAGGGCCCCGTTGGTTTCCCAGGCCCCATTGGAGCCCCCGGTGTCCGAGGCTTCCAGGTCAGTGTGCAGACAAGAGTCACTTCACATACATCATGTTCTGGCTCCTGTGTTCTGCATTGTGCTCACCATTGTGTGATGGCAGCAAATGAGGGGAAGCAATGTCTTTCCACAATCCAGGATTGGATTAACACTGTCATTAACACACTACAATAGAAAGAATGTCAGGGTGGACAAGCTGCCTGCTGGAACTGATGTTTAGTGTTTATATCAGAAGGCTTTGAGCTTGACCCCTTGCTTCCTCCTTCACCTGGACACCTGGTGTCAACAGCGAGCTCCTTTTCCCTTCTGTAGTATGGAGGACTCTCTTCTTTCTTCCTCTCCTCTCCCTTCTTGGTTTACAATCACTCCCTATCCCCAGAGAACTGGCTGAGGCGCTGTGTGCTGCCAGATCCTGGCTGTAGTTTTATTAAGAAGAAGCTGGAGTGCCTTGTCAGTGTGCTTGACCAGAAATGAGAGCAGGCTGTTCTGGCTGAGCAGTCAGTAAAAGCAATGCCAACAGCAAGTAAATGGTCCCTGGGGAACAAAGGAGAGAGGAAATCCAAGGCAATGCTTTCAAACGTGAGGAGCTGTGGGGATGTCGTGCAGGGTTTCTTGTTCCTCTAGGTTGTAGCTCTCTTTTATTGCTGTTTTCCTAACAGGGTCCTAAAGGTGCCAGTGGAGAACCTGGCCTTCCTGGTCCAACTGGAATTCGTGGAGAGTCTGGTGACAGGGTAAGGAGGAGATGATGTTTGTAACTCCTTCCTGTTTGGGAGATGTGAAATCAGAGCTTAGCAGGTCCCTGACACAGAACAGCTGATGTCGTCACACTGAGTGGATGCAGACTCAGCTGCAGGCTGGCACATGGGGTCCCCCCCCCTCTACCCCCCTGTCCTGCTGCTGCTGCATGCCTGAGCTGGGCCCCAAGCAGGCAGAGGATTCGTGCATCTGCCTCTTTTCTGTCTCAGCTCCTATTCCTGCCTATTTCCCTTCCAGTACAAGAGCTCCTGCTAGTTCCAGGCAGGATGGGGATCCATCTAAGCCAGAATAGGCAACCGTTGTCTCCTGCTTTGCATGCACTCCTCCTCCTCCCCACACCTCAACCCCCAACAGCACAGGAGATTCACGCTGTCATTCAGATGCCTTGATTAGGGTTTCAGGATTTATTTTATTTTTAATTACAGTTTGCTCTGTGATTTCTTTCTGAACAGCACCGCAGGGCCCTGCACTTCAGAACAAATCCGACTTTTTTCTGTAAATGAATTCCTTCTCATTTAAAAGAAGGCAGCAGGGCAAAGCGAATGGCATTTGCTCAGGGCCTGCAGGAGAGCAGCAGCCGTGTGTTGGGTAGCTGCCCTGACTCCAGCTTTAAGGTGAACTTTCTGTGTCAGCGATGGATTTTACAAAGGCCCCTCTTGTGTGGGTTTAAAGAAGGCTCTCAGTGCAGCCTGAGGTGTGAGACAGGAGCAGCATTGTGACCCTGCCCGCGTCCAGGGCTTTGCTGCCGTGAGAAATGCATGTTCCAGAGGGGAAAGAGGCCCTGCACAGAGCAGCGTTATCTGGAGAGCTGCTCAGGGGAAAAAAGTATTTGCTTAAGAAAAAAAAGATTTTATTTCTGGCTCTGAAGTGTGGTTGCTCTGAAATGTAATTGTTGATTATTTCTCAAACCCTGCAGCTCGTTAACAGTTTTCTCCAGGAGAACGTGCTGTGTCAGGTCTGGGTAACCCAGGAGCTTCTCTCCTCTGTGTGCACAGCTGGCACCTGCAGTGACTTTCCAGGGTGCCTCTGCTGTTGGTGACAGCCCTGTGTGCTGTGTGGGAGAACATGAGGAGTTAGTGCAGCTTACCTTGCCTGTGCCTGCAGTCTGAGGCAGCAATAGGCAAGTATTCCTTCACAGGATTTGGGTCAAAATCAGATTCCTGGAGATCCTGTATGCAGCATCTCCCATGGAGGAATGTTGGCTGTGTTCGGTGGATAGAGGCACCCACATGAGGACGGCGCTGGGTGTGGAGCTGGCCGTCCCCAGAGCCACGAACGTCACTTCTTCCTGCTGCTGGGAATTATGGCTGCAGGAAATTCCACAGTTTTGAATCAGTCTTTTCTATTTAAGCTTTTTTCTAAGGGAGAGTTCCTCTCAGGGCCCCCTTTGGTGGCTAAGATGTGTTACATTGCCATGAACTTCCATGGAGCCTCAGGACTCCACAAAGTTGGAGGCATGGTGGTGATGTTCAGGAAAGAATATAAGGCCTCTGTCACATGAAACAGGAGTTACAGCTATAGCTATTTCTGCATTTCCACGTGCTGTTGTCTGTTTTGCCAAGAATTATTTCTTCCTTAGTAGAAATCCTCCCCCTTCTTTTTTAAATGTGTTCAGTGCTTGACTTGAGCAGAATGACGTGCCCTTATTCTGTGTCTGTCCACCTCTCAGGTTCCTCCTGCTGGGCCATCTGCAGGTCTGCTTATTAAAGAACGATCAGATTGCAGGTGCCAGGTTGATGAATGTGCAGTAGAAACCTCATCTGAAGGGCGAAATGGCTCATCACCAGGATGTATTTTATTCCTGTGGCTGTGTCATTCTGTAAACCTGCATGTGGAGGAGCACCTGACTCTAAATCTCCAAGAGAACTGATGCTCTAAAGCCTTGAAATGCCTCCTGTTGCTCTTAGGGTATAAAATGCATGGGTTGAGGCCTGAGCTGCTGGCTGCAGAGTGTGCTGCAAGAGCAGCAGGATGCTTTAATTCTCTTCTTATGTCTGAGAAATGTGAATGAGCATTGATCCCTCCTACCTGGCAGTTAGGCTGACTCATTGCTGTGCGAGTGCCTGTGTGACACACCAAGAACTCACAAGGAAAGAAGAGTTTGAACTCATGGCCTTCTTTTACTTATTCTCAGGGTCCTACTGGTGTTATTGGTGCCAAAGGTAACCAGGTAAGTGACACTGTTCTTTCTGTGATGAGTTTCCTGCAGACAAGGCATTTAAACTGTGCCAAAGGTGCACAGACTGCTTTTCCTTCCCCGGGATGTGAGTAGTCTGCAGCAGGCACCGACAAAACACTTTCTGATCTCTTTTTTTTTTTTTTTGTGTGTGTGTGTGTGTGTGATGATGAGAGAGATGTAGTCTGTTCTGATAGAAACTTATGAAAACACCGTGATTGGAAATGCTGGGTTCTTGCTGTTCATTTTGCACCCACGAGGCATGCTGCATGTGAGCTCCTTGCACACCAGCGTTTCACTGGGGCAGTCCCTGAGATCAATGAAGAGGATTCGTTGTAGCCCCAGGGCTTGGCAGCCTCGAAGCCTCGTGTATTTCATCTTTTACTCCCTGCTGTTTACTTTCATAGCTGGACTTATCTCAGTGCTGAGCTTTTGGGGATAAATTTCATTGAATATGTAAATTAGGTCGGTGCTTGACTTTGTTCTTGCAGAAAATAAGTGATGTTCCAACAGGTACTGCTTGTTCTGTTTCCCAGTTTGTGTCTGTGTGGTCTCCGTTGTGTTGCTAAGCGAAAAGCCAACCTGTCCTCTGTTTGTCTTGAATTAACTTTCTCCCTCCAGCCATACAGTCACCATAACGTTGTTCATTATCTGCTCTAATTGCTGTGCAATGAGTAAGCTTTGCTGCACAGCACGTGGAGTGGTGCCAGAGCAGCAATGCACCATGGTTTGTGTTGCTTCCAGTGCCTTCCATCAAGCATCACCTGTGGCAAGGGGCATCTCTTTGTCCTCTCTGCAGGGCAGCTCCTGGGCAGTGCTTCCTCTTGGGGGCCTTAGATAATAAGCTGCTAAATGCCCCCGTCTCCCTTAGGAGCTGAGGTTGTAGAGTGAACCTTCTTGCCAGTAACCTGAGTGTATTGTTAGGTGCTGTGTTAATTCTGTCATGTGCTTTCAGGGCATTGCTGGAGCAGACGGTCTCCCGGGTGACAAAGGAGAACTGGTAAGTGTCCTCAAGTTCAGTAGAATTGAATTTGAAGTAATAGAGCAACGTACAGAACTATGAATTAAGAACTAATACAATCAGTGTGTTAACCGTGCAAGTGCTCCAGCTGCCATCACTGCACCACTGGCTGCAAAAAGGGGACTGCAAGCCAAGCTTTCCAGCCACAGCCTTCTGGCCACAGCACTGGCCCTGCTGCTCCCTTGAGGAGGCACAGGGGAGGCAGCATGGCCTTCACACAGCAGTGGCACATCAGCACTTGTAGTCATTTTGAGGGGCAGGTGGACATTTTTCTGTCCTTCTGTCAATTTCCAGAACTCTCCAGGCTGCCTGGGCTTGTGTTCAGCACTGGTGAATCTGGTCTGGTGAGGCTGGATCTGGTCTGCAACATCCTGTTATCGTTCCTGGCCCCTTCACTAGAGTGGCCCAGTGCATGCCATGCGCATGTCGACACTGCTTCCTGGGCCTTGCAGAGTGGGAGAAAGGATTTTCAATGGACGTTTTCCATAAGATCTTTCTTTCATGTTTCCATTTTCTTTCTAACAGGGTCCCTTTGGTCCTCCTGGCCAAAAAGGAGAGGTATGTGTCAGGCACTGCGGACTCTGCCCTGTAATATTTGGCTATAAATGTGTTTACTGTATCATTCAGTGATGTATCTCCTTAAAATCTAAGTGCTGTATTATTTTTCTTTATTATAGCCAGGAAAAAGAGGAGAACTGGGTCCAAAAGGTGCTCAAGGCCCCAATGGGACAGCTGGAGCTCCAGGGATCCCAGGACACCCAGGGCCCATGGGCCATCAGGGGGAGCAGGGCGTTCCTGGCATCACAGGCAAACCAGGGCCTCCTGTAAGTATTGCCTGCTTCTGTGGTACATTTGTTCACTGCAAATAATGGAAGGATTGCAGGTTTTGGATGCATGTTCAGAAAAGAAGGTGGCATCCTGCATTTGAACAGTCGAAAGTAACTGTTCAGGCAAGCTAGCAGTCTTGCATCAGGAGTTCTGCAGTGGAAAAAGATCAGTGGTTTGCAGGCTTCAGAATTGCAATCCCCCCAGATGTTTACCTTGGCGAATGAATCTCATTGACATGCAGATTATCTGGCCAGTGGAATGGGCTGTAAGTTGCTGTTGTCCTTACAAAAGTGAGTTAGAAATGGGTCATTTAAAAATACAGCTCCTACTCGGTGCTCTGTCTTGGTCCAGGCTCACATTCTGGCACTTAGGTGAGGCCCCGATTCAATAGCTGCCCTGAAATGCTGGTGTTAATCTCTGCCATTTATATTGTGACACAGCTTCTAAATTGAAGCTGTCATCTTCTGAAGAGGGGCAAAAAAATCTCATTTTCATGCAGGATCCTGCGCTGCTTACTGAGCTGCTGGGAGTGAGTTTCAAGTCATGACGTAGCTGTCAGTGATTATTATCAATAATGTGATTTGTATAAAGCAGGAATTCTCTGTTAATTGCAGGGCAAAGAGGCCAGTGAACAACATATAAGAGAACTCTGTGGGGAAATGATAAATGGTGAGTTTTGCTGGGAGAAAGCAAACTTCAATTACTGTATTTGGCTGAAGATGAGATCTTGAAGGTGGGATGTCTATTGAAATTTGTTCTTTTTCATCTAAAGTAGGAAAAATACAGTAGCTGCTAATGGAAGGAAACACTTCAGAAAATTCTTGTTTGGGATGTCTTTTATTTTCTTAAAGTTAGTTTTTTTGCATGATTCTCTGGGGCAACATACGAAACGTGCTGGCAGAAGCTCTGACGTCCCCTCACCTGTGTCATTCAGAACCTCAGCTCCTAGCTCTCCTCTCCCCACTATGTCACATCCCAGGCCTCAAGGCAGGACTCCAAACGAGTGCCAGCTCCCCACAAGTGTTTTTCTTTCCCTGATGTTACTGCTTTGCCTTTAGAGGTTATGTTCAGCACTGCTTGTTTCGGAGGACTTGGTTTTTAATTAAGTATCGTTCTCCAGAATCCTTGCTGTGTTTCAAAGCGGTTTAGGAAACAGAAAATGGCATAAGGTGCCAGCAGGTTTCTGACCAGATGGCAAAGAGTGAAGATGTTAGACGTGCAGTTTTTACTGTAGGTGCTGTTATTCTGTTTTTCAGATCAAATTGCACAGTTAGCTGCTAATCTGAGGAAGCCTTTAGCTCCTGGGATGACGGGGCGCCCTGGCCCTGCTGGTCCACCAGGTCCTCCAGGAGCTAGAGGAAGCGTTGGCCATCCTGGTGCTCGTGGTCCCCCTGGGTACAGAGGGCCAACAGGAGAGCTTGGTGACCCTGGTCCCAGAGGTAAGACTGAGCCAAGCAGTTTCTGTCTTATGGCCATTGAAATCAATGACCAGCTTGTACTGATTTCAGCAGAACGGATCAGTCTTTGGACAGAGTTCTAGAGGATGGTTCTGCTTGCATCTTTTAAGATCTTAGCACTGACCTGAGGCTTTTTGATTTTACAACTCAGTGCTGAAATTGTTTATTTATGATTCGAGGTGACACTGGTGAAAAGGGAGATAAAGGACCGGCTGGACAAGGAATTGATGGGCCTGATGGTGATCAAGGACCTCAAGGTAAGCCTGTGCAAATAACGTCATGAGTCGTAACTAAAGTAAAAGCTAAGGACAGCTCTGCCTCTTTGATCAGAGGGTTCAGAATTTCTTTTCTGCAAATTAATAAGCATCTGTTAGGAAGTCTGAAAGAATATCTTGCTTACCTATTAAAGCAGCTTTTCTAGTTGTGATTACATCTTCACACTGAATAAGTTACAGGCACTAAAACCAGGCTCTGCATTCACATACTGCCATAAAAACAGACTATTTATATGCCACTGTCTCTCACATTCTTCCATAAAATAATTCCATCAATAGATAAATAGCATCTTTTTATATGCTTTAGAAAATATTTTTCATATATTAAGTATTGAGGGTATTTCTCTTATTTATGAGGTTGAGTGATATCAACAGCAGACGAATTTTTACTGAACTAAAAAGGATCAGGTCTCATTTCTGTATCATAATTCAGTCAGGTTTAGAGATAGAGTTGTCCCTCAGGGAGACAGAAGCTCATTTTGCAGTGTTTCTAAAAGCTTGTTATTATGGGAATTAGAGTTTTATGAATTATCTTTGGCACGTGAATAAAAAAGAATAAAAGAAAGAGCAGCCCAAGGCTGCCCAAAACCAAAACTGTTTCTGCCAATAAACAAAATGTGTTTCACCATGAGGAAAATTTTGAAATTAGACACATTATAAAGGAAGCTCCTTATCTTTAAGGTCAGCGAGGCCTTCTGTATTGTCACTCTCCTTCCCCTATTCAGAGTCTTAACGATGACTTTGGGACACACCGTGAGTTGAAGCAGCTGCCTCCCACTAAGGAGGGACCTGGGCTCACACAGAATCCCTTCAGCAAACGAATCAGGGTCCCTACAAAAAGATCGGGTTACAAATTCATTATTGTCCCTCGTGGTCTGAAGTAGCAGCAAAGTGGAATCCAGTTCTGCTGTGAGCAGCAAGTGTTAAAGCAGACGTGTGGTAACCATATTAAACATGCACTGTAATATTAAACACCCACCTTTAACTACAGTCAGATAATTCCAGTAAACCCAAAGGTACCCTAAAAACATCCAACACACAGACTGCAGACTCAGGGTAAATTTATTCAACATCTTGTATTCAACAAATCCGATATGCAGATACTCAAAGTATTCAAGAACTTTGAAAGTTATACATTTTTTTTTTTTAAATGAAAGTCAGGAAATATTACATGTAATGTTTTTCCCCCTTCTTGTTTAGGACTTCCTGGTGTACCTGGAATCAGTAAGAACGGGCGGGATGGAGCTCAGGGTGAACCCGGCCTTCCAGGGGATCCTGGTACTCCTGGTGCTGTTGGGGCTCAGGGAACTCCAGGCATCTGTGACACATCAGCCTGCATGGGAGCTGTTGGAGCATCGACTTCCAAAAAGTCATAAAGCAGTACAAGAAGTGGAGAAGTGACTGAATATTTAAATAAACAGTGCATTGTAAGAAAACAGACAAATCTTCCTAGTGATAAATGGACACACGTTCCTTCTGTTATTTTAAGTGGAGACTCTGACACAGTAATTCAGTTGTATGAAAAAGAAAGCATCAGATGAAAATCGTAACTAAAGATGCTTTATGAGCATTTTTTTCCTCCTCCCTCAATACTTTTCCAGAATTTTCACTACTAAATCACCTCACCTTCTTCCCTGCCTCCCTGTGTTGAAGAGACCTGCAAGAGGAAGTGGTCCTTTTTACCATCATCTCCAAGCTGTACTAGTGCAGCTTTTCTGTACAAACGTTTGAGCCTTTGTCAATTGAATTCCTCAGTGCTGCTCCACTGACTTCAGCCATGCAGGTTTGTGCACTAACATCCACGTTGTTCAGGTTTCAGGCACCTAACTGCTGCTTACAGCAGTGGAAATAAGGCATTTAAGCATCCAGTACTGTAACACCTTAACACTCTGTGCTAAGACCATAGCTGAGGTATATGCTGCCTATTGCCAGTATTCAGACTGCACCTCAAATATTTGCCCAGCCTAATAATTACTAAGCCTCTTGCAGTCCAATTCTGCAAAAGGTGTAATGTATATATTTTAATTTACAGGGGAGAGTTTTTGTATTTCCATATGATAACAAAGGAAGTTAACAGCATTTTCATGTCCTCAACTTAAGCTATTTGCACAGTAATCGTGAAAGGAACCCCAAGTAAGGAAGGATGCTCTTCTAAAGTTCAGCCAGAAAAGACTTGTATGAACTGTTGTAAAAATAAAAGGAGATTTTTTTTTTAACCCTTTCTTTGTGATGTTATAAATGTCACTATACACATGGAAATGAATTCTATATTCCAAAACTGTTTTTCCTAGGATTGTTTGGAAATAAATTGCTGCAAAATTGTCAGTATCCGTGATTTCAAACAGTATTTACTTTGGGAGACCTTTTTGTATCTCAAAACCTGCTGGCATCATCTGTTATCACTGCAAGTAATAAAGCTCAGACACTATTCTACTTCTGCCCTAAATGCTGAAGCTCATCAACAATAGAGCCATGTTAGTCTTTAAATATTAAGATAGTTTGTATACATTTAAATCATCTGCTGTTTACTATATGCCATTTTTGGACTAAACAATACAAGAAACTGTTGGACAGCTGTGTGAAATGCATTAAAGTAATGCACCACTCTAAAAACAATGCTAATAGCTTTGTATCAATCTTTGGGGTCAAATGCATTAAAGTACAGCAAACAAACTCCATCATAGCAGTGCAGTTTAGGAACTGTGCACTTATTCAATTAACCTACATAACTTTCAAACTTTTAAGGAGAAAAATGGGCATTTTATTACAGTACCTTATATTTCTTTTTACACTTAAAGGATCTATTTGCACGTAGTTATTAAAGTAACAGGACAGGGTGATCTTCTACAACAATTCTTAACTGTACTGTATCACCTTAAAGGAAAAAGAAGGGAAAAAAATCCAAAGCAGAACCACAAACAGAAAAGGAGCAAAAGGAGAAAAATAATTACTAGCTGCCACGGCATTTTCTTGTTTTCTCTAGTCCCAAAGCCCCTTTAACAGAACACTGATTTATACTGCTGGCAGTCAATTTCCATTTTCATTTGGAATGATGAACGTTTTCTTTAAAGCTCCATTTATGTGTTTTTACAAGTTATAGTTTTGCAAGTCTCTCCCAGAGCTTCTCAAATAAATTAATCACAATAAGCCAAAGCCCCACACGTAAACAGAGATAAATGCAGTTTGGGTCATTCCTTATTTATCCACGCTCAGGCAATTCAAGGCTACTTGGTCTCCATAGCCATGCTGCGCGCTCTCCTGAACTGGACACGTTACAAACGAATCCGACCTGGGTGCTTTCAGTCTCCTGCCTGTTTTGCCACAGAACACGGTCTCAAATTCCTAGAAAATAATCAAAATACAAGAAGAAACAACAACAAAGTTTGATGGAGGTATTTACTTGAGAGCTGTGTTTTTGTTTCACTGATGTCTCGAAGAAAATTAATGTACCTTTAACAGTAAGCACCAAGGGACCATGTTCCATCTGTTCTCCTATGATACTTATAGAATTGCTCTTGGGCTGCAAGTAGGGCTGTGGGAGCTTATGGGACATAGAACCCTTCCCTACTCTCAATCACTTTGAGTGTGGGCACAGATGCAGCTCAGAATCCCATCCTGTGACCACTGGCTCATAGCAGCCAGCTAGAAACATCTCTGTGAATAAGCGGGGAAGAGAGAAAAGAGAAAGGAGAAGAACAGGAATGACTGAAGAAGGCCCTAATTCTACAGGCAGCCCCATTCCTGAGTAGGATGCCAACTACAAAAATAAGTAAACTCAATCTGAAAATTCTAACCGAAGGCAGCCTATGATACCACAACACTGAACCGAAATTCTGCAAGGAGAGCTGGTCAAATAAAACAGCTTTATAAAGGACAGTTAGGTGACACAGTGGTCCTTCACCAACAGCACCCAGAAGAAACATTCCATACACTTCAGCTACCTTATGACAGCTTTAAAAGTGTTTCACTATTTGATCAAGAACAAAAATGAAATTGGATTTGAACCTCTTTCAGAGAATCGCCGTGCTTTTCCTGAATATACTTCAGGAATGCAGTTGTCCACTGTAAGGTCGTTGCTTTATCAGTTTCAGAAGTGCAGAACGGAACCAGAAGATTCAGTTCATCACAACAAATCCGGATTCTGCGCCTACAAACAAACACAAAGGGTCATCAAGATGGAAGAGAAGGGAAAAAGTAATAATAATGATGATGTCTAAAGGACAATTACTCACATCTGATACAAGCCATGACCTCTGGGGATTGCTTTTTGTTTTATTTTAAGCAATCTTTGGTTTGTATTTGCAAGTTCGTATATTAGTGGTGTTATATACAAGTTAGTTACCTCATCTCTCTAGAGCAGCCTGCAATTAGGCACACACTCTTCTAATAAACACCAACCCTCACCACCTGCATTGCTACTTCTTCCAAATAAAGATACAGCAAATTCACCTCCTACTCTGGGAAACGACGGGACTGTTAGAGTAGCAGTATCTTAGGCTCCAAAAAAAAAAAAACTCTGCATTGCAGCTCCTCATAGAAAAATTACCTTCTGTCTCTCTCCATGCGGTTATGTCTTTCTCTGCGCTGAGTAACTCCTTCCTGCGTACCACTCTGTACCTGCACACTGGAATGTGACTGTGCTGACTGCCAGGGGCCCTGTGCAGCTGCAGTGCTCTGGCTATCTCGCATATTTTGTATCTCACTAAGAGGTTTGCGATCTATGTTTGCATCCATTGGGCTTATTCGGCTGCAACTTCGTTTGTTTACCGCTTGCTTGCATAAGGTGTCTTCTTTGCAAAACAAAGAGGAAAAGAACCTATTGATAATCCTCCTACTGGTCATGGAAAATACCGAGCAGAGAAAATTTGTTGTTGTTTTACGTGGAACAATCCTGGCAGCTTTACAGCCAACCTAGATTGACTCTTACAGCAACACGTGTCCTAAACCCAAAGGCACCGATTCAAAATCCATCTAATTCCATTTGCTCAGAGAACATACAGAGATCATGCCTACCTTTAATTAGCATTTGAAGAAGTCCTTCAAATGTTCTTCAATTTGATAACTGGATCTGCTATATCAACTTTTGGGTCAAAAAATGTAGAAAGAAACCAGTTACTTACTCTAGACCCAGAATTTCAAAGATATTTTACAGCCTCAGGTTTTCTCTCTTCCATCTAGAAGAGCTAAACACTTTTGTAAATATAGCTAAAATTACTGGCAACTTTTTTCTTTAATCTACTTCCACACTGCCCACTGTGCATCTCAAAAGACCACACCTGGTATGATTCACTGCACTCATATTCATTGTAGAACACATGCACATTAAAAAGGATTTGAAGGACAGAGAAAGCTAAAATGAAGATAGATGGCTTACCTCCAACTTTAATCCAAACTTCCTCAGGCAAAGCTTTATTCATAGCACCTACTGTCTGTTTTGTGGATTCCATTTCCTGATGGTAACAGAAAGAGAATGTTCTGGGAATCCCAATCTCTTGATGTGTGGCAGATTCCAAGATAGCACAAGATGTTCCAGAGGCCTGTGAAAATCAAAAACGGAACGCTTAGGAGGATTATATACATAAAATGGAGACAACTTTCATTATCTTTGTATGAAGATCTTAAATTTCAGCTCCATTAGTCAACACGTTGTATGAAAATCAATCTCAATTACTTCTGCACACCACAACCAAGGCATTTTATCAGTCTGCTGAATTTAGTTCTACTTCTTTAATACGCTTCTGGCATTTCCTGAGTGCCACACCATCTCTTTTGCTTCAGAGGTTACAGGGGAAAGGAAAAACAAAACACCACCTTTCTCATCAAAATGAAGTAGGAAATAAACAAACAGCAGAAAATCTTATTTGTTAAACATCTCCTCCTGCTCTCCTACAGAATAAGAGATATCTGTATCTATGTTCTTTTACTGTATCATTCTCCTAAGACACCTGCAACACTATAACGTGATGGAAAACACAGCAATGACAGTGGAGCAGCAGAGTCCCAGGCTACAGCAACGAGGATAAGCCCAGGAGCAGCAGCAGCGGATGCAGAAACAAAGGAATAAAGACACCTACCTTTGGAAGGCCTCAGGTATGCAGGGATCTCCAGCACGACACACTCACCTCCACTGCCAGCCCTTAAATGAGGCCTGAGAAGGAGTGGATCCTGGCTCCACCCCTTCCAGTCACTCAGGTACACTGCATGCACCTGAGCTCCACTCTGGCCCTGCCTTCCCACCAGGTGCTCCATCACTGCTTCCAGATGTGACTCAGCATTTCTGCTACAACACCCAATGGCTACTGCTCACTACCTCACGCAGGTTACTGCACGGCTGAGCCGCCACACAGTCAGTTTGAGTAATTTTGATAGCTTAAGATTAACAAACTACAAATTGTACTACTCACATCTATCCAAACCAAGCCACACTTCAACATAAACCTTCACAATTCTACTACGTAGGCCTGGAAGATGAACGCTATTAGCATTTGACATTTGCAGAGTACAGTTAATGGAGAACATACGACCTACCTGAGCCTGTGAGGAATTAGCAGCTCCAGCAGCAGAACACGCACTCATGGCAAACAGCGGATGCGTGAACTGTGCAGAAGGCGTGGTGGGTGTGCTCTTGTTTTTCACCACTGCTGCACACTTGTTCGGATGCTGATGAAGGGGGACGCCGACCAGCTCTGACGGCTGCTGAATCAATGTTACCAAGCTACACAGCAACACACAAAAACACACCAAGGTGAATAGCGAAAATGAGGAGCACAGAAAAACAATCACAGCTCCGTATCCTTTGGTAGTTATCATCAAGAAACCGCTTTCATTTGTTGCAAAATAATAATTATCTGTCAGCTGAGAAGGCGTCTTATTCAGCACTGCAATAGCCTCAAGGAAATGCTTAGCAGAACACTGATACAGTTACAGGGCCAAAGTGTTCACAGTGTATAAGAAGACTTCCACCTGAAGTGTTTATCATAGCCAAGCCTCTAAGTTGTATCATTCATTACAATAACCAACTGCCCCACATTATTTTGTTAGGATCAAGAAGCTGCCTTGCTTTAAGTTGCAAAACCAGGCAACTCTCTTCTCTCACCTTTACTTAAATCACAGCTTGTTATCAATAATAAAGTTGCAAGGTCATTAATTTTGTGATGACGTTCTGTGCCACTGATGCGATACACAGGAGGGCAGAGAGCAGCTGCAGCCACGTGGGAGTGCCACAGATTAGAAAAGTGCCACTTACGATAACATCGCGTGTATTAAAGGACCCACCGTAGGACCCACTTCAGAAAAACAGTTCGGACTCTATGAAAATACATAGCTTAACGACAGAAACTGAAATTAAGCACAACACACTTGTTAAGAGTCACTCCAGATTCTTGGGGTTCTTGGCATCTGGGGCTTTCTGTCTGGACGCCGTTCAACGTGTCCTCCAATCGAACTCTGACTGCAGATTTCGATCTGGGCTCGGCTGCCATCGCCACACGCTCAACCACTACGCTCCCTTTGCTCACCCCAGCAAAGCTCTCACCGTGTTTCGCCCTCAACAAGCCGCACCCCGAGACTTCCTCGGAGCCACCCTTGGGCGTTTTGTCCGCTTGGCCGGCAGGGGGGTTCACCTCACCGAGCAACATCATCCTGCGCTCCTGGAAGTCCGCGTGCCCCACGCAGGGGTTCGAACCGGGCGCGCCGCCGTCGGCGGTCACTCCCGCCTGGCAGAGGCCGGGGAAGGCTGGCGGGCCGGCGGGGCCGCAGGAGGCGCAGCCCTCGTCCGGGGGAACCGCAGCGTCGGGCCCGGCTTCGGCCTCGCCTTCGGCGGCCCGCGGCTCCGCTTGCGCGTACAGCGCGTGCTGCAGCTGGCCGTACTCCACGTCCGCCATCTCCACCAGGCTGAGCTCCGCGGCGGCGAAGCCGAAGCTCTGCTCGCCGAATGCCGCGTCCGCTCGGGGCTGCGGGCCGGGCCCCGCCATGGCGCGCCTACCCGACGGAGCCGCGTCCGTCCCGCTCTCTCAACCACCGAACCCACCGCCGTCCGACGGCCGCGGGGCAACGCCCGGCACGCGGCGCACCACGCGAGGCGGCGGCTCGGCCCTCCCCTCCCGCGCACCGCCGAAACGGCCTTCACCTGCTCCGCTCCGCTCGGCTCCCTCAGCCGAGCCCCCGCGCCAGCAACCCGGGGAGGCGCGGAGCCGCCTACGGCCGAAGGGCGGCGGTCCCTCACCCCCCGCGCTCTGAAGGGGAAGCAGAGCGCCACCTCCGCAGCCCCCCGTCCCGCCCTATCGCTCACGGGTCGGACGGCAGCGGCCAAACCCGCCTGCGCCGCACGCGCGGCACGGGCCGCCGCCAACCGCCGCGCGCAACCGCCCGTCTCGCGCATGCGCGCTGCGCCCCGCCAACCGCCCCGCCGTGCGGATGACTGCGCGCTGCTGGCGCTGCGGCGCTCCTCGCTGCCGGCGCTGCCCGCCCAAAGGCGCCCGCACGGAGTCGTTCTTTCCATGGCAGCGCCTCGCGTTCGTGTGTCAGTGTCTGTCACGGCTCTGCTCGTGGCCCTGTACTGCAGTACTAAAAGCACATGCTGTTGTGACAGGCTCCAGAAACAAGTCGGGGTCACAGGCACAGAAGTACTATTTTAGCCCATGAATAGAATATAGAGGTCCACGCTGTATGGAAACCTTCATACAGTCTCCCTTCAGGAGGTTCAGAAAATTTGCTTTACTATGAGAGTGGTGAGGTGCTGGAACAGCTGCCAGAGAGGCTGTGATGCCCCGTCCAGCCTTGGAGGTGTTCGAGGCCAGACTGGTTGGGGCCTTGGGCAGCCTGGGCTGCTATGAAATGGGGAGGTTGGTGGCCCTGCGTGTGGCAGGGGGTTGGAGATTCGTGATCCTTGAGGTCCCTTCCAACCTGGGCTATTGCTGTGATTCTGTGGAAACAGACCTTTTCCCTACTTTCCTTTGCTGTGCACCAGTGACAGTAACAGCACGCATGGGTATTTTCCATGGTAAAGGCCAATCCAAAAAGTGCATCTGTCACCTCTAGAAAGGAAATCAGAAATGCTGACAGCAGTTGTGCACATGCTGGGCTCTATATTCCTTCCCCCCCCTCCCTTCTAACCCTGCAGTAGTTGCACAGAGCACAACGTAACCTTCTGTGGACCTGTCGATCCTTCAGCTCACACTGCTCAGAGGAGCTCAGTTGAGGGTATTTTGTCCCAATTCAGTTAACAAAAAACTTCAAAATAAACCAGAATAAATCCTAAGAACAAACTTTCATGCACCTTTTGGAACAGCTACATATAAATATCAATTAATAATGGTGGCATCCTGCAAAATTTCATCTTTTGGGGTGGAAATGAAACCTGTGGGCCATCAGCCTCTTGTGGTGACCCTCTGGGCTTGCTGAAAGGTACCAGAGATCAGTAGGAAATGACAGACACAGGCATGCCTCAGAAAGAGACAAAATTTAGCTGTAGATGTTTATTCTACTTACAGTAACAAAAACCTGTGAACTCCCATGTCTTAATGTACAGTGCTATATTTTGCCATATAAAATACAATTTACAGAAATTTCTATCAAGTAAACCTAAACAAACACACTTGCTTTTTGCATACTTTTATGTATGTCTTTAAATTAGAAACATCTCATTAAGAAAAAATCTTACACCATAGTAGATGTTTGTATTTAATAACACCTCTCTGCATGTTAACGTGTTGTTTACAGGTTCATTTTGCAATCATTCCAACCAGCAAACCTGTGATGTGTGAGGACTTGTAAGACACACCAATATGAACCTTATAACCTATGGTGAGATACATGACATGGATGCTACTTGTAATGTAGAATTCAAGATGCAAGTATTTGTAGGAATCTAATTTTACCTTTTTCAAAACTATTTTATAAAAATACGAAAATACTTAAGCAACTGTTAATTTATGTAGTCAAATTGTAAATAACAGGGTTTTCTTATTTCATACTTCAGAATTACGTACTTGAAGAATACATGAAAAGTAGCTGTGTAATGTATTTCACAGTAAGGACTTTCCCCCTTGAATCATGACATCAGGTGTTACCAATCTTCTTTCCAAGCTAAATGCATGTAGACCATTTTCATTGGACAGTCTTATATACAGTGCCAGAATGAGCAGGGGCTGACAAAAACAGGGGCATTTTGGTGGGTTTTTTTTTCAGGAGCACTTTTTTTCACACTTTTAGATTGAAAAGTAGAGGAAAGCGGTGACACTTCTTAAGTCTCTGGCAGTTTTCTGCCAAAAGAAAACAAAACCCCCAAAATGCCTCACGTAAATCAGTTCATCTGTTCAATAAAGTTATTTTTCATTCCTTTGGTATCCCCATTCTTTTGTAGACTCGATCTTTTGCCAATAGATCTTGGTGTTTCTAAAAGTTTCGCTGGTTGTAAAGGTGCTACTCATATATGCTCTTTAATTACGGGTTTGTAAATATGTGGGATTTAAAACTCCTCACCCTCGTGAAAAGTATGAATTGCTTCTTTGTTGTACACTTAACAGATGGATTTCAAAACAAAATAACTGTATAGAGAAAGGAAAATAGTGCACTTTAAGCTCATAACATTCCATTTCCAAATCCTCTGTCAAATAATAACACTGTTCTTCTGCAGCCTTTTCCTAAACACACAGTCTTTGCATTGTAAAGAAAGACAGCAATATTGGACTCCTTTTTTAAAGCGTGTGCTGTAGGAACAACTTGGACATCAAAATACCACATAAATGAGATGTAAAGGTATGGCTCCTAGGATTTTGATTAAATTCTCTTATAAAATTACAATTCAAGTTACTGGAAAACATAACTTTATAATTTTAAAAAGCAATATGCTCTTCTTAGACTTTTCCCATTTCTGTACCGTAAATGGAAACTTTAAGATAAAGATGCGAGTAGAAAAAAACAAAATTTCAGAACAGGTAACGCTGTGAATTTTTAGAATAAAAACGTTATGCACAAAATGCAGCAAGTGAAAGTCCGGTATGTTCTTGCCGTTTACATCTTCGAGTATTTTCATTCACAGTTCTTCAAAAATTACTCATTTGTCAGTACATTGTATAAGGCTAGATTTACAACAGCACTTTTGCAAAGGTGAGAATATACAGTATATACAGAAGACACTGACTCGGTCCTTGCTGTGTTGTAAAAGTGTCTTATTTACGGAAAATACAGTAGCAGCCATATTTCTACGACTGAGCAGTGGACGATGAAGCTTCTGCCTCTGTTGGTTTCTGGCTTTCCTTAGGTGTTTCTGGCTTCACCTCTTTACCAGTGTCCCTGGTTTTGCTTCGATCTTTCCGATCTCTTCCTCTCTCACGATCCCGATCTCTCTCTCGATCTCTTTCTTTTTCCCTGCTTCGATCCCGGTCCCTGTCTTTATCTCTGTCACGATCTCTGTCTCTGCTCCTTGATCTCTCCCTGTCACGTCTTCTGTAGGATTCTCTGTCTCTGGTTCTGGCTCTGTCTCGGTCTCTGCTTCTTTCCCAGTCCTTAGCATGCTCGGAATCTTTCTCTCTATCTTTGTTTTGGTTTCTGTCTCTGTTTTTATCCCATTCCTTGTCCCTGTGTCTCTCCCAGTCCCTGTCTCTGTTCCAGTTTCTGCCACGGTCTCTTTCCCAAGGTCTGCCATGTTCACGATCCCTTCGTCTTTCCTCAAACGGTCTACCTTGTCGATTATCAGCTTGCTGAGGCTCTGGCTGATCTAAACCCTTGTCTTTATTTCCTCCCTCGTATCTGTCTCTCTGCCTCCCTTCAAATGTCTGGCCTCTATATTCAATATTTTTGCCTTCTCGGAAGTCAGGTGCTGACCACTGTCCTTCTGACTCATGCCCTTGTCCAGAAACATTGGAAAGAGATGCAGATGGTCCAGCCTCCTCCCACATGTCTTTTCTGTGGGCTGACAGATGGCCTGGAAGGTCTAGGAGCGGTCTTGGGGTTGACTTCATGCTTTGTTGCGACTGACCTTGGAAATGAAATCTAGAAGGAGGTTCATTTTGCTCTGGAAACATTGCAGGCGAGGGCCCTCTTGGTCCTCCATACTGAGGTGGTGCTGGACCTCTCTGGTTGGCAAATCTGGGAGGGGGACTCCCTCTCCGTTCTTCAAATGGCTGTGGCAAAAGTCCTCTTGGGCCAGGTCCGTGATTCGGAGGTGGACCTCTTTGCCCTTCAAATTGATTTGTGTGAGGCCCTCTTGGTCCCCCAAAATGACTAGGGGCCGGACCTCTTGGCCCTCCAAACTGAGGCCCTCCTCTCTGTCCCTTAAACTGAGCTGGTGGAGGTCGTCTTTGACCTCCAAAAGGAAAAGGTCCTCTGTTTCCCATAAACTGAGGTTGATCAGATCCTTCAAATGGTCCTGGAGGCCTAATCATCTCATTGTATTGGGAATCTGAGAATTCCCTTTGTTCCATGTGAGGTTCCATGTGATCTTCAAACTGAGATGGCGACATTCCTCTTGGAACACCGTAAGATGGGGCAGGGCCCCTACTATCACCAAAAAGCGGAGATCCATGCTGTGAAGAAAATAAGGAAGGGATGGGACCCTTCTGACCTCCAAATCTTCCAGGGGCAGATCCTCTTTGCCCATCACTGTTTGGAGAACCGTGCTCTTCTGAGAACTGTGGTGCCGGCCCTCTAAAGTTAGGTCCGTGAGGTCCTCCAGGTGCATTGTGCATTGGCGGTTGTGGAGGTCCTCCCTTCTGCCCAGACAAAGAAAATGGAAGTCTGTTTTCCTCAAAGTGCTGTGGGAGAGGGCCACCCTCACCCTGAATTGATGTAGAGTCAGTTTGTTCTACAAATTGATGAGGCTGAGGGTTTCTTTGTTCTTCATACTGCAGTGAAGACAGACCTCTCTCTGGTTCATAGTGACCACCTGCATTTTCCTGAGAAGTAAACATTGCATTTGAAAAAGAATCTCTTCCTATTCCTTCCTTTGGCTCATTTGACCATGGTACTTGATGCATATCTTGCAAAGACTGACTGTCATTTGATGTGGAGAAATTAGGCTGAAAACACGTAGTCGGAGGTGTTGGAAGCAGCACTTTGCGTAAGGGTTTGGATGTAGAGGGTTCACCAGGAACTGTTTGACTTACATTCTCCAAATTAACTTGAGCGGTGTTTTCAAATTTGCTACTAGGTGCCTCTTTCTGTGACACCGTACAAGCCTGTTCACTTGAAACCCAGTTACCAGCAGTATAACTAAGCTGAGGAGCAGACATTAAGGTATTATCTTCCTTACCAAGTGAAGCTGACAGAGCACTTGGAAAACTTGCTGAAAGAATTTCTCTTGCGGGTGTTTCATTCTGTACTGCCTGTGGCTTTATTCGAGCATCAGTATTGTCGTTTATTTCTGTTGCCATTCTTCGGGCTTGTCGAGGATCTCTAGTCTGCCGTGGGTCAGAGCCCTGGTTTAAAACTTGTGCTTGCTGATTTGCAGATGAAGGTAAATCTACTTTTTGTACAGCTTGCTGGCCCTGTTGGAACAATTCAGTCTTTATTAGGGAAGATTTTGGTGGTGGTGACATTAAAGCATCAGACACTGAAAAATGAGCCATTGAAACGCCAACAGCCGCTCTTTGTTGTCTGAGGGCTTCTTCTTGCTCCTCTAGTTGCCTTTTCTGTTCTTCTATTTGTTTGTTTAATTCTTCCAACATTTTTTGCTGTTCCACTAAGGATGAGGACGCAGATAAGTCAGGTACGTATGGAGCAGATGTTTCTGGAGCACTGCTTTTAGCATCCGTATACATTTTGTTAGGTAAATCATCAACAGCAACTTTTGCTTCTTCCAAGATAGTTTCATCTTCTGGATCATAGGCCTCATCCTCTAATACTGCTGTATTACTTGGCTTTTCCACACTGTAAAGTTTTTCACTTTCACCTGTCTGCATTTCGAAAGCTTTCTCTGGATCATATTCTTCCTCGGGATCATATGGTCTGTCATCTTCCTCCTCCTCTATCGCTTTGTCTTTCGACATCTGTCCAAACTGCTGTACAATGGGATCTAACAAAGGAACAGCTGCCACACCTCCCTCAGCAGCTGCCTGAGCTTTCTGATTTGAAGACTGGGCAGTTTCAGAATCCTTAGCAACAGGTTCAAAAGATTTCTTTTTTCCAAACAGCGTCTGCAGGATGTGCTCGAGAGGTGTGGCAGTTTTTGAGGACGAAGAATGCGTAGCAGTAACACTTGGAGAAGCAGCGGCTGAGATCGGAGGCGGTGCAGTAGTTGTGCTTCCACTTTTAATCGAGGACAGTATTTTTAATACTGAAGGTGTAACTGCTGAGCTTTCTGGAACGGGAAGTGGGGGTGGAGGCGGCGGAGGAGACCCAGGGGGTGTTGTACTCACAGCTGAGTCTCCAGAATAAAGCCCATATTTGGGGGTTTTCTTTTCTTGAAAAGAAGCTACTGGCCCCTTCAAGAACTGCGATGGTTCTGCTTCCTCCTGCAACTGAATCCGACTTCGCTTTTCCTCTATTTTGTCTGTTTCCATGCCGGTAGCAAGACGTTTCCCTTTCTGACAGATAACCAATCCAAGAATTAAATTTGGACGTGATGATTCAAGACCTGAAAGAGAACACAAAGATTGCATATGTAAAAACCATTTTTATCAGTGCTTTCAATAGAAGCTTATTCTATTATACAGTGGTAGCTACAAATGTCATAACAGTAAGTTCTTCTGTATTTCATGCGATGACTTACTGGCAATTCTATTAGTCTGCACGCATATGTATCTACATTTATTTACTATTTATATATGTATTCATATGTGAGAAGAAATATTTTAATCCCTTCTTTGGTACTCCTTTAATATTGTAGTAACAGGAAACTTTGCCAATGTTGCTACTGTTCAAATACTAAAGAAAGTTGTCATTTTTGTATTAATACTTTTATTCTTGTCCACTCCCACTCCCTACTCAAACAGTTCCAATAAAATAGTTTGTAATAATGATAATAATACATTTAATATTACATATTAAATGTAATAATACACAGATATGTTGGACAAGCAATCTACCTTTCCGTAGGGCTAAGCTAGAATTTAAGAAGCACAGCTGAACAAAAGTAAGTTCTAACGCTATTAGAAAACCTTCCTTTGTTTTTTTCTTACAGATAAACTACATGGCACTATTAAACTTCACAACAACATCCTCAAACAGGCTGTTTGGAAACAATATTAAAGCTTGTAACTGACTCTGATTCCCTTTTCTGTTGTTGTTCTTTTCCCCAGCTAAATATCATTTTTAACACACACTGAGAAGTAGGGAAACTGATAACTAACACACCAAACCAGCACGTGAGCCCTTAAGCAGATATGAGTTTAGCATGTGGGAGAAAAGGACACTGCGTATGTCTGCCTTCTCTCCAAGAAAGCATTTATTTGGGTATGAATTTGGCATGCTTGGCAATTTGGCAGGTTGCTTTTTAACCCTCTGGTGTAGGATTCAGATTGATGCTATGGGCAGTGGGAGCAGAACTGCTCTGCTGTGAAAGCTTCTGACTCGAATCTCTGGAAGAGTTTATCTGAAAATGACCAGAAAGTTCCTGGAAAGAGGGAAAACACAAATATCCGTACGTCTGCTTCATGTGATTGTGCTTCTTCCCCTTACATTCACAATTCCCACTGGCACTTGTGGAAAATAAACATGACTAGAACAAAGGGCAGGGAATGAATCCTTTAACACACATTTAAAGGCAAACGTAGAAAAACTGTACGAAGAAAGGCTTTCTTAACTTCTGGATTTAATGACTTCAAAGAATCCCTTTTAGAGTCCACATTAATTCTATCTGCAAGCAGCTAGGAAGCAGAAATACAAAAACACAAAACAAGGCCAAGTAACATAATATTCAGTGCGGTTAAATGGCAAGGAATCTAAAACCTACACTGCTCCTTCCACTCATGAACCTGCAACAGTTTTAAAAGCTAAGATACTAATTTACGTGCATCTTTGGTCCTACTAAACAAAACCCTCTGCTCACTAAGAACAGTTTACACCACCAAAAGCTTCTAGATAACAGCAATATATGCCTAAATACATAAAAATCCCACAGATGCAGATAAATACTATTTGTGAGTCGTTAAGTAAGTACTTTCGGCGAAACAACGGAATGCAAGGCTTTAAAGGGACTCCTAAGTTCACTAAGTAGATATTAATTGCATCAGCTGCTTTTGTTTATGTAGCTGAATTTCTATTTGTGTTCAACAGAATTCATCTTCTCCAAGTTATGGTTGCTATGATTAAACTCAGAAACCACTAAAATGAGATTAGCTATTTTTAACTGAAGCTTTCTAGGTGAGAAGATTCCATTGCATACAGATGAACCTGAGTTACATTTTGACCAGGCAAGTCAAAATTCCTTATTCTGTGAAAGTTTGTACTGCAAGAACTATGTACAGTCTGCTGCAATAACACTGCAAAACTACCACTGCTTTAAACCTAGTGTTGCCAGCACTTACTGTTTATTTCATTAAGCCTTTCTTTCTGTCAACAAAGCCTTGCCCCATCATCATCAGTGCTTGCATTTCTTATCCTCAATTCTTGCTCAATTTAAGCCTCACACTCCAAAAACTTAACTGTAATTAACAAGGCCTGGAAATTTTTTCAAATAAAGTAAATTAACTTGAAAGTCTGATGAGATCTCTTCACAGCTGAGGAATAATCTCTCCTCTGTAATTGTGTTCTTCTGATGGTAACTGGTAACAACACAGTGAGTCTGTTTTACCCATGTAATGGGGAGAGCAGCAAAATCTGCAGAGGCACTAGAAGTAATCTTTACAAAAGGTCAGAAACAAATTGAGACCAATCTGAATTTTACTCGAGACTTCCTATCAGAAATAGCTCTCATTTTAAGTACAATGAGAAACAACAATAATTAAATTTGACTGAATGTATTCTAGATATCCATAGTTGATTTTGCAGTTCAGTGTTTGAGTTTGGTGTTCTGTGGTTGAGAGGGTGCTGGCCGTGCTGCCTTCTGTAATAATTCCCCATCTGCAATGTATGTTATTTCCTATTTGTACATTTAAAAATTCAGTGCTATCTTTATCCTCCAGAAAAAAACGTTTTGGTGTTCCTTAAGCGTTGCCAATTTTTACTTTCTTCCAAAGTTAGAAAAATATATATGAAAGAGCAAATACAGGAAGAAAGTGAACTGGCTATCTGAACCAGAACTAAGACTAGCTAATAATGTAGTACACACACAGCTCTGCCACCATAAGGGAGCAGGGATGGTGAGATGAACAGTGAAAGCAGGCAGGACAGGAACTAAACAAATAATTATCTCCAGCGAATCCAAGATCATCTGGAAAGCACCATATGAATTGTTGGCTCATCCAATTACAAATTCATTTGCATCCTTTGCCTGAAATCAGCTCCAGCCGTTCTGATCACAACGTATTACATGCACATTAAGTTATAATCCCAAGGCATAGTCCAAAAGACAACTTCAGTGGGAAAAAGACCAGCCACAGCATATAGCCTGAATGGACTCAGTAGTGAGGTATGGTTCACACTGAGTGAATTTATCAGTAGGTGAGTAATGACTCCACACTTGGTCAGTGTTGACCACTGCAGAGTAGCTCACAAATCCTCCCAAAATTCCTAGCAGGCATTCACTGTTCTTCTGTCATTAATATATAGCTCATTTACAGAGAGACTTGTGATTTACACAACCGATCACAACACGCATCTCAAACACTGAATTACTGAATCAGGCAGGTTTCAAAAATCCATCAGATCATATCTCTAAAATAAACAACAACAAAAAAATCATTTCTGAATCCTGGTTAAGAATCAGAGATTAAGAATCACTAAATAGGGTAAAATTTAAGTACACGTTCAAGACAAATTCCAGTGGTAAATTAATAACAGCTGTAACTGAATCTGTTTTGTTCAGTCAGAGAACAAATCACGTTTTAAAATGTTGAGACTGTAATTTTACATGAATATTAGAAGTTTGGCACAACCCACTATCTGCATTCATTCATTCCAGAGTGAGCAAACAGGAAGAGCTTATTTTGGATGGAAACACAGAGCAGAATGCTGATCTACCTCTATCTCCACATCCATAAACAGGTTTCATGACCCATAAATAGGCTGAACGCCTAATTTTAGGTAATATTGAAAATGTTGGCTGAAGTCTCCAACTACTGCTCAGTAACTCTCACAAGCCAGCGCTTTAAGTGCTACAAGCTAAGTTGGCAGAGCTTTCAGTGCTAAATTAGTTATACAATATTTAACTCTTTCTGATTTGAAGTCCATGTGCTGGTTTTATTGTAACTAAAGCCATTAAAACATTATATGCTAAATATCAGCACTGGACATATATTTGCTTTTCTTGCCCTTGAATACATCTTTTCATAAGATCAGTTTCGCCACATTTATATGTATAATGGCCACATATTCTATCTAGTTTGTTTGTTGTTGGTTTTTTTTTCTCCATTTGTTGCAATTTTAAGAGCATTCTAAATAGCACGCAGATATTTCAGGCCTTCATTCTGCAAGAAAACCCACTTCCAGTTTTAAACTGTCAAAAGAGACAACATTTGTGGAATCTCCTTTGCTGAGAAAAGGGCTTTCGTTACAATTAGTCTATTTTAAACATGAGGTCCTTGCAAGATTTGCAGTACTGCCAATAAAGCCCTCACTCAATACATCACTCTTTCTATTGATAACTACAATTGATCTTTGTTTTTTCCTTTCTCTCCACGAGTTGCTTTGACATCCACACGTGAGAAGTGCTAAGTAACCTCAGTGTGTATGTGAAACAGAAGTAAATTCACATACAGGAAACTATCACACAATGTAGAGTATCCCAAACACACATTATATCCAGTGATAAAATATTTGAGATGACGTAAATAAATGTGAATTTTCTTCCATTTTCACAGAATCACAGAATTGTAGGGGTTGGAAGGGACCTCCTGAGATCATCGAGTCCAACCCCCCTGCCAAAGCAGGTTCCCTACACCAGGTAGCACAGGTAGGCATCCAGGCAGGTCTTGAACATCTCCAGAGAAGGAGACTCCACCACCTCCCTGGGCAGCCTCTCTTTTTAAATCACCCATGTCAATGTTTTTGGAGATCTTCTATGTACTACAGCAGTTCAGAGGTCCTCAGTCACCTTCCAAATCCAGTTCACCAAAGAACAGGAGAAATTCACAATCTGTGTGTGCCTGATGGAACTGGCTGAGACAGCAGGAATAAATACTAACCAGGACTTCTGGAGTGACAGGGTTTTATTGTCCTCTCCCTCCTCCCCCCTCCAGCCATATTAATCAGCACATCTTACACTGTCTACAGCATAATGCTTTTAAAGTACTTTCAAGTCTTCTGTTAGAAGGCACACAATTAAATTTAAGGAGACAATGACCACTTTGTATAAAATACTTTTATTGAGTATAAAAAAAAAAAAAAAAAGGTGAATTCCATCAGATGTCATTAAAGAGTATGGATTACATGTATTTTATGCTATGGTTTGAATACACACACAAAAAGCAAGAACAGCTTACCTGATATTTTTTCCCCCATGTAGTGGACTCTGGTTTTAAAGTACGAATACAACCGAGCTCAACTATGAGGTAAGGCCTGCTATAGAAGCTTCCAAAAAGAGTGAAGACTAAGCGGGTCTTCCATTAATTAAAGGTGGCTATACCTTTGGAACCTTGCCTCTATCATAGTGCTCTAACACACTTTGCCTAACAAATGTGGATTTCTATTTGCCTCAAACACACAGAAAATTCAAGCCAAATATTACTTCTGATAATTTTAACTATAAATAGAATGGAATGTAACTCACCCACACCAACTGCTGTCTACTGCCTAACTGAAGGAATATGATTTCCCCACTCCCAACAAACCGACTTTCAGAAGTCAGTGATTCATCTGGTTGGCCCTGCCAAGCATGGAACACTTCAAACAGCTTGTGCATATGCGTTGCATGAAGCACAGTGCAGAGCAGCCCAGCAGCCAATGTAGTGAAACCACTGTCAATATTACCTTTGTCTTCATACACTTTGACTCCTCTGAAGGCTGAGTCCTGCTTGATGTAAGTGACAGTGCACCACTTGTAGGGACCTAAGGCTTTGCAGATTTGTGGGTTGCTGAAAGTAGGGTGAGTTTGTTGTTTTCTTTGTTTGTTTGCTGTCACTGTTTGGTTGTTTGTTTAATGTGGCTGTTCTATGTAATCAATTTTATAGCAAAATCATCCTCCTAATAGCACTTATGCAACTTGGTAGAAAGGCTATGTGAGTTTCAAACTATTTTACTTTGAGACGGTTGACTTTGCAACTTTTCCCTGTATGATCTGTAAAAATGTTTTTATATGAAATATATACTTTTAATAACACGTCAAACATTCAACAACTTGTTGCTGATTCTTCTTTTGTGATTTTACCTAGCGTTTAATCTCCCCTATGTTTTGTGCTTACCTGGTCCCTCAAAGGGCAAGAGTTTGGAAGGTATTGGGTCCTTAGAACTCAGTGGGATCAGGTAGAGATCCTTGACATGTCTGTTGTTATTAGCTACAACACCAAAACGACCACGACTGCTAAAATAGGAGTAGAGAGAGATATAGGCCACTTCTTCTTCTTCTGTGGCTGGATGGAAACGAATCAAACACAACTCCTGTAATACAAAAGCAAAGTGGAAAAATTCAACCTGTAGCATATCAGCAAATAAAAAGGTAAACGGCAAATTCCAGGGTTAAAAATTAGCTGTGTACTTATTGATCTGCTATTTCTTCAAGGGATGCTCTATCTTTAAGACAATGCTGTTGTTCAATCAGCAAAATTAAAACAGAATTAGGCTCGGCGTTTCAGAAATCCCAATTACTTATGTATCTCACTTCAATCTATCCCTCTTGAGGTTCTGAATACTCGATTATGAAGGAAATGGGAAAATCTTAGTTTCATAATTATATCTGCATGCTGTGCCTAAGTTTTACCACTTCTAAAGTGGTTTTAATGGTAAAACTAAATACAGGCACTTAATGATAATGTCCTGGTTTTTAACATTTGAGTTTCCATCTTCGATACTGAATATGTAATTGTTTACAGTTAATCATTAAAAAACAGTAAGTAGTATGAAGTCTTAACTGGTATGCAGGGGAAAGTTGATCAGCACCTTAATAGGCAAAGCTTTCTTCAATAAATCAAAAATTTCAAAGTAGTATGTGGTGTCAGCAGTTTTCTAAGTTTGATCTGTGCCAGTATTTCCTGATTATTAACTTATACTATCAAAAGTTGTCATTTTTCATTGCTGCATATTTCTTCTGTATTTTGCAAAGGATTTTAAGTGAATACCTTAGAAAGCGAAGATTTGAGTTTGCCAACATAATCCCAGACTGTCTTCGGTGAGATCCTCCCACCAATATGAATTGTATCTGGTAAATCCTAAACAAGAAGTATTACATGGTAGTATAAGCCAAGAGACTTTAGCTTTAACACAGTGCAGACTGCCCCATCCCAGTAGCCCAGGGGATAATGCATTATTCTATTTTAATGAACTTGCACATACACATCTCTAATTTCAGACATTCCAATTTCCAAATTTCAAGGTGTTATTGCCAAACAATGACAGCAGTGGAAGGCCAAGTACTTTTATTCACCCATCAGCTTTGTTCTCAGCTTTGTCTTATAGGAAAGCTGTCATTTATAAAAGCTAATAAATTAAAGACAAGATTTTAAATAAATGGCTAAAGAAATATTTTTAACAGATCACAACAGTGATCCAACTGGTTGCGAGCAGAAGGTGGCAGCTATTTTAAAACACTGGCTATAAAACTTCTTTTCAAAACCTGAATCTGAAATAAAGCTGTGATTCCATGGTAGATACTCACATATACATATACACATTTAATAAAAGACGTGAGACTTCTTCACAAATCTGTGAGGAATTTTTTAAAAGCTATTTTTTTCCTTTAGCTACTATTCCCCTACTTCTAAAGGGATGCCCATTCACCACTGTCAGACTTCCAATATAATATATATAGCGACCATAGCTTTCCTAGCAACTGGAATTGCAACGTATTCTGAACACACAAACACGTCAGAGCTAACCTCACTAAGATAATCAAAGCACCCGGAGACAGGATATGCTTTAGTGACAAATTTGGCCACACTTTGCATGTTAATAAATCCTTTCCAAATGGTGTTGAGACGAGAGAGGAAGAGGGAAGTGTCGCTGTCTTGAGGTGAGCGTGGCTCTGCAACGCTGTAAAACAAATCCAGAACAGAAAAGTTACAGATCACAGCAACAATGCTGCTTTCCTTTTTCTTCTCTTGCCTACTTCTAAATAACAGAATCCTTTATAATTGCTTTGTTAATGTTTTCCATTAACTAGGGATTAATGGGAAACGTGAGGAATAATTGAAAACATACTTGTAGCTACAGACAAGCAAAATGATGCTGAAAGACATGATGTTTATAGAACTAGGGTTAGCACTGTGAGTACTGTGATCCTGAGAACGTAACAACTAATTTGAATTACGTAGCTTCCACTATGCGAGACAACAATATGCATCTGAAAGAGAATCTCATATATAGGGAGTGGGTATGAACAAAACTATTTTGACTGCAGTTCCATAAGCATATCCTTAGCAACACTTATTTTTTCTATTTTATATATATATATATTCAGAATACATTAACAATGTGCTTCCTTCCAAGCTGATCAAATGGTTAATTTTAATTTATATTCATAAAGTGAGACGTAACTGTTCTGTGTTCATATACTTATTTTAATAGGTGAAAATCTCAAGTGCCTTTAAACCATCTCTCATATACGCTCACTTTCTATATTGAATGTATATGGAGATTTTACCACCAGTTACTTTTAAGTTTTATTTCTCTGTTAAAGCACATTGTAGTGTCTCTGCTGTCAATTTACAGTGATGCTCAGAAAAAAATTTACCAACAAGAGAAGGTAAATGAGGAGATTATCAATTAAAATTTTGAATCAAGTTATTTGAACTTTCAAGTTGAATGTGCCTTTTGATTATTGGCAGAGGGGGAGTGAGAGGAAGAGGAGGATAAACCAACTTTGAAGGTGACTAGGCTAAAGATTCAGTAACTTAGCTTGCTATTGAATATACGCACTTGATACTGGGTAACTGATGAACAGCTAAGTATCTTGGATCTGGTGAAGACGATGGTTTTGTTAATATTGATTTGGGGACAGTCATAACTGGTTTTGACGTTTCCTGCTTTGATTCTCCCACTGAAACTTTCTCAGATGCAGGACCAGATCGTGGGGCAGTTGCTGCAGTACCAGAGGAGGTACCCAGGGCTGTCCTCGGGTCTCTACCAGAAACTGTTACAGTTGTGACAACTCCACCAGTACAAACAGCAGGAAGAGCTGAAGCTTCTTCAGGGACAGAGGAGTCAGCATTGTTCTGGACTTGAGTCGTAGGAATATAAGATCTTTCTACATTTGACTGGGAAACCACTTCTGCTGCAGGTTCAACATCAGTTTCCATTGCATCTTCAGCTACTGCCTCTTTGGCTGGCTCTGCTGCTGCTGGTGCAGAACTTTCGTACTTCGGCTGAACTTCTGGTTTTGATTTTGTCTCCACCTTTTTAACAGAAGCCGCTGACTTTGACTTCTTAGCAGGTACTTCATCTTCAGATGCTGAAATCTGACCTATAAATTCATTTAAAATGCTTTCGGTTACTATCTAACACTGAAAATGTTCTAAGAGAAAAACAAACATGCAGACAAAGCTCTTAAGAATTCTTCTAACATCACACATAGTCAACATGTAGATACCTGTACAAATTTTGCAGTTTAAATCAAAAAGATGGGCTCGGTGCTGACTTGTTGTATCCTTCAACATACTGCTAAAAACATCCAGAGAAGGAGCACTGCTTGATTTTGGTACACTTCGTGCTGACTCTTGCTGCTCCTAGAAACAAACAAACATTCTGGTTGATCACCAATTTCAATCACAAAGAAATACTTTGGGAATGTAATTACAGGAAGATGCTCACAGCACACCTATGAGGTAATACTCTTACAGCTCAGTGAAACAGGTCACATTCTGAGGAAAAATTTGAGGCCCTACTTAGTTACCACTGACCTCCTTTGAGGCCTTCATGCTAAAGCAACAGCTGATACTTACATCGGAATCAGACACTGGTGGAGAGTCTTCCATATTAAGATCAGGTGCATGTTCCCGTTTCACAGGTACTTTCTTGACCTCCTGTGATTTTTTTCTCGACTCCATCACCTGAGAGAAACAAAATCACTTCAATAAGAAGACTGCACACTTACTTTATAATTGCATTCTGTACTTTCTTACTAGTTGGCTAGTGGAAGAGAAAAAGCCTTCTGAAACGTAGAATTATTCCTACTTCATTATGAAGAAAACAGTAACAGGAGTGCTAAGGGCTGGTGAACTTGCTTTTAATTCATACCTAAGCACATACTGGAAAACTGTACATCACTTACTGCTTTGGTTGGTTTCTCTTTCCACACAGACAGTTCTTTAGACAGCAGTTCTTCTGGTTTCATTCTCACAAGTTTTGACAGAGAGATTTCCCCATGAAGAACACGATGAAAAAGTCCCTATAAACAAAACACACTGTTGCTATGCTGAAGATAACAAAAAAGATATGCAGTGTCGAACTGTCAAAACATGTTTGGATTTATTAATTCCCTATTAAAAATATTAATTAATTATAAGCAAAGTGGGAAAGGTACAGCAACCAGAAAACAAGGATGAAATGAACATCAAGTACAAATTTTCCTCATTATCATAAAAAAGTCAACTTAACTGAACAGTTATTTCAGAAGTTGAACGGCCACTTCTGTTTTATATCTATTGCAGAAATTAGAGGGAAAAGTCCCACAAAGTTTGAAGTGTTTTCTAGTATATATTTCCACCTGCAAAAGGTTTTCTTCCTTTTAAAACAATCACGCACAGAAGCAGTATCTGATACATACTACAGAATGTCACAGGAGGAAGAATGAAGCCTATAATTAAGAATGCCATACTGTGAATATTCCACTCCAAAGGCCCAGACTGAATAAATACACATGATCCAACTGAAGTTCAATTCCTACTAGATTTTTTTTAAAGAGATTTGGAAGGATTTAAAATAACCTTGTATTGTATAACTCATACATTGCTACCTCGAAACTCACAATTTTCAGGATAGATCTTAACATATTAAAAAAATATTAATGTATTTCAGTACATTTACTGCTTAAGGAAATTCCAAACCTGGTTTTTTGGGTCCTTGAGATTGAACATGATGCTGCGGTATTTGCTCTTGTATCGGTTGTCCGTAACTTGAAACAAATTAAACATCTCCTTCTCAATATTTAGCGCTACTTTCCCCACTTCACTCTCTGTCATGACCAGATCATCGCTATCGTTGACTCTGTTAAAAACAAGATGCCCATGCATTTATGTTAGGCACGAATCTTCAGGTAGCATTCATTAAAAAATAACCTTCCAGAGGAAGGAGCGAACCTGAGCTCCTCTGCACCCAGCAGGGACTCAGGTCTCTTTTAAGACATCTCAAAATCAAAGCGTATTTCAGGACCTCAAGCTGAGAAGTACGGCAGCCTCTTGTCTCTGTCTACAGAAGACAGGAAAGACAGCCTGGATGAGCTGAGGTCAGCCTCTGCGACTGCTCCTGGCACCAAATGGAGCTTTCTGCCATGAGCTACACAGGAAGCCTAAGCTCTTGAGTTTTAAGCTCAGACTTCCCGCTGTGAACATTTCTAGTTCAGAGACACTACCAGAACGCAGTGGTGCAAGCCTTGACAGCCGACCACAGCTTTAACAGCACTTGTGGGACAACATTTCAGCAATCTTTTTTTATTTATACATATAAGTGCTACAGTTCCTAGCTTTTCACTGTGACATTCCCAATACTATTTTTGTACCACCTCTACATCTGCAAGCACTGCCATCGCCAGATTTTAACTTCAGATCACTGCACCTCAAATGCTTCTGTGCTGCAGTTTAATTCTTCAGATGTCACTGTCTCAGCAGAAATGGGGTAGGGGCTTCGTGGCTTTTCTTTAACAGCCTTTTCACCTGCACATTGATTTTAGATCTGGATTTTTTATTTTTAATAAACCTGAAATGCTAAATATATTTTCAGTTTCTAGTATATATACCAGTTTCTAGTATAAGTTACATCCTTCAATTTTGCTTATTTTCAGATATAGCTTCCTATACAAAATAAGTGCTCTGAATTCCCACCTCTTCCACAAAATTTCTTTTAGGGATCGCCGAATATTTTGTCGAATCTGAGAGTTGGGCTGTGACTGGATAGGAACAGCCGATACTTTCACTTGACTACTTCCAGATGCAGTGGGAACAGAAGATGGAGCAGGCCTTTTGAGTCCTGCACCCAAACTGGACGATGCAACTGGCTTTTTGGGTAGCGATGAGGCAGGAGGAGGAGCTGAAGGCTTTGAAGGAACGCTGTCTGATGAAGGCCACGGCTTCTTGGGAATTACGCCTTTGAAACTCCCAGTAGAAGACTTCAGTGGCTGTTTGGCTAGTGACAAGCTAGAGAAGGTTGGGGCCTTCTTGGGAAGAAGATTTTTAGTGAGAGATGTCTGTTTCTCTGCCACAGATGTTGAAGCAACAGCTCTCTTTGATGCCACAGTGTGCTCTGCTGCTTTGTCTTCCTTCTTTTTATCTCCCTTTTGAGCTGTCAAAACAAAGAACAGTACAATACTAAATACTTACATTTATGGCTTGCTGTTTACGAAGACCGTTTATCAATCTATAAGGAAGTCTGTGAAATGACACTTCTAGAGAATAACTACCAAGGTTACAAATACTGAGAGAAGAAATTTGCCTTGAATGCAAAATAATGTATCTTGCCAGACTGAAGAGTTTAACAGCTCCACTTCAGCTGTGCAGACTGAAAATCTTATTCACACGCTATGCAAAAAATCTGACAAAGGCACCACCTTCAAAGATTCCCGAGCTGGATTTCATGATCAAGCTTCAAAACTCCACACTCACACAAAGTCAAAACAACCCATATCTTATATTTAAACAGAAAAATCCTCATAGTAACTTGTAGAACTGTTTCACTGTGGAGGTTGACTAGATTCCACCAGTTTGTGGCTGAATTAATGTCACCCCAAGCTTAATATTCTTGAAGTTTAAGAAATCCCTTCTACAGACTTTTTAAGGAACAAGGAAAGAGAGCCAGGTTACATAACACAGAAGTTGCTGAAAGTTTTAACGGCATTCTCCATCTACTTGGTCATTACCTCAGTTAAATTATGATTAGATCTTCCTGTTCAGTTTCCAGCTAAACTCTAGATTTACAGAATTAAACATTAAAAGCTGTGGCCATCTAAATGCCATCATGTCATTCACCATATCCAAAACTTGCTGTTTAAACTAATTATTCTTTCTACCGTTACTAAACAGATCAATAGCCATAATCTCACATTTAAGTTAGACTTCAGTGGGACACAAAGCCAACCATTCCTTCAGTTTTTCATCCATTCACCTTCTGGCATCAACAGAAACAATTCAGAATAACAAAATAAGCCAAAAACAGCCCCTTGTACAGCAAACAAGATTTGTTCCACCTCAGCTTACCAGTAATATTATGTTTACAGTGGGCTAGCACTAACACATGCATCACAACAGTTCAAACAACGATGGGCTCTGAGTGAACCTACCTACTGAAATACAACACTTCCAATTAGAAAAGTCAAACTTACTCCCTCAAGTCTTTTTTCCCCTCTCACAAACCTGCAGTTAACTACCAACCAATTAACGCACTAATTTTTATCTGATGCTTTCAACTAGTAAGGATTTGTCAATGGAAGAATTGGCCCTGAAGCTCTAGATGCAAAAAGCTGTATGCTTTCTGGAAAGGATTCAAAAACTTTAGATAACTTCACCAAAGACCAAATAAGTCCCTCTTCACCTTCCACACCTGCTACAAGAGCAGCAATTATCAGGAAGGGTCTGATGCATCCAATTCTCATGCGTTCTGAAACAGATTTGGAATGGACAAAGGTGGAAGCACCTTTGTAAAGCCTGATCCAAGAAACGTCAGACAGCATAGATTTTGAATGGAAATACAGCCACAAAAGGGGAAGGCTTGAATTACTTAAGAAACATACTGCAAGCACTCCTTTTGTGAATGAAACCCCAGATGAAACAGCCTCCTGACTTTTCTCTACAACCCAGATCTAAATGACCCTGAACGCTTGTACACTCCTCCAGCAGAAGGAATGCTTCCAACAGCTTTGCTACGTTGGCTCTTATCACCGTAGTTTCACTACAAATACAGAAACTGGTGGTTCAGATCAACTGAAAATAAACGCTGCACCTGAACTTCTACAAGGCAAAGTGCAGAAGTGTGTCTAAACTGGAACACAAAGCAAAGAAGCTGGAAGAATCATTTATCCCGTTTTCTTTTTAGTGTGTTTGCTTGTTTTGGAAACGTGTATTATTTCAGTTTTTCAGAGCAAAATTTATCTGAGGTGTAAAATGAGACAGCTACCAAAATATATTGAAACCTTCCAAAGAATGTGGAGATCTTACTCTAAAGTAGATCGTTGTTCTCAAGCTACTCCCTGGAGGCTGTCCCACTCACTGTCAGACTGACCATGGAGCTGGGGAGAGCCTCAGCAGGACCCACACTGACTTTTCTGATGCTCCCCCCACTAAGCACACCCCACCAACCCCATGTTATTTGTCAGGAGGTCTTCAGCCACCCCAAGAGGGATTAGAAACTATCGCTGATGGGTTTGGTTTGGTCAAATGAGGCATCCAGAGCTAAAAGAGGTAAAAAGGCAGTATTAACATTATTGAGAAGAGAGAAGATGAATATCCAGAATGTGTGCATGGTAAGTCTGCAGGAATTTCTGTTTCCCAGCTTACTGCATCTTCTGCACAGACTTGCATCTCTTCAGTCAAGTGGGACAGCAGCACCTTTCTGTGACACACTATGGAAGGCAGGACAGCACAGCTCAGGTTTCAACAAAATGACCACAGTACAATCCAGTCCTCAGTGCTAAGAGCTTTAGTTGTGCACAATATAATTACAAGCCATTAAATACTATAGTTATATTTAATACCCTATCCTCTCCAGTCATTCGTTCAAATTGGTTAACAAGAAGCACGCTGATAAAGTTAACTACAGCACTGCCAAGATGTTGTGTTAATCAGATAATGTATATGTTATAAAAAAAAATAATACATCCATACTCTAAACCTTATGATCCAAATAACTACATCATGGGTAAGAATACGTACATGTAATGTACACAAATGGCAGTAGTGCAAAGGTAGACTGAAATTCCCAGTACAGAAACAGGTGCACTGAAAAGGTTTCCAGCACAACGTGTGCTATTTTAGCCAATAGAGAACGTGCAAATATTTCAGCTTTGTGAAAGACTAATGGTTTTCACAAGTCAAAATATTACCTTACACCAACTGTCTACCTAATAGTACTTGATGGTAGTGATTCTGTAAACATCTCACTGTATTTGAAGATTATTAAAATGGTGTGTGCATTGACAATAAACCAGGGGTACTTAATCCTTCATATGCTAATAACCCGCAATGTCAGCAGATGAACCTTATCTTAAAAGAAACCCGTATCTTGTAATGACTTTGAGAAAGCAAGTTTGACCTATTGAGGTTTCAGTTCCACTTGCAGACAGTCCAGCCGCACCAACTCCCTCTGCCTTTGGACAGGTCTTGCAGTCAATGCCCAGGAGGCAGGAGCCGCAGCCGAGTGCAGGGAGGGAGCAGGACTGCCTCTTCTGCCAGCAGCTCTCTGCCCTGTTGCCTTGTCACAGTGGCAGCACAGCCCCAGGACTCGTGCTGTCACCAGAGCACGTTTGGGAAACTTGTACAGTAATGTGCACTCTTTCCAGCGAGCAGAATGTCAACATTTGTGGAATTTAATTTCTGAACAGATGTCACCGTTGCTCAGCAAACTGATGGAACAAAAACAACCCGGTATTTGTTTGGACCGCGAGTTTCAAATCACTTTGCCTTGTGGATCACGAACAGCTTGAAGACACTGTCAATGCCTACCACTCACAGGGGCTGCTGTGCTTTGTACTGTGATGTTTTCAGTCCTTTTTTAATCAGCAGCTCCAGCGTACCTACAATAAATGCTCTTAAACCAATTTTAAAATAAAGACTACTACAGAACATCAGCTTAACCAGCCTGAATGAGGTTTCACCAGACAAAAGATCAGTGCCACAAGGAAGCATCTGGTGACTCTTCCATCCAACACCTCCGAATCCCTGGGCTTGATGTTAAGGATACTTGAAACAGAACAACTCCCCCATCTTCCCCCATTAAATTCCCACATTACCCGTTCTGTCCTGTGAACCACTCAGACAGCAACAGGATTCTTTTTGACCAAAGAGAGGCATAGGCTAAAAAAGACTGAGGTACAGATGGAGCTAATGAGTCTGCTCATTGCCAGTGAGACCCAGTGAGCACTAAGCTAGAAAGGTGGGTTTGTTGGTTTGTTTTTCTCATTTTGTTTTTAAGGCTTATGAAACAGCATTACTGTTATCTTAACTACAGACATTACTACAATCTCTCCCACTAGATGTCATCAGATAGAGAATACTTCCCCTAAGGAAGTTCTTGTTAAAGCTAAGCCAAATATTGCAACACGCAGCTAAGAACGAAACTCCTTTAAGTGGTGCAGAACTGCCACATTATCTGCTGTGTTACAGATGAGCCGGTTGAAAGTTAGATGTTCAAGCATACTTCTAAGGTTCAGCATTGATGCTTCATATCATAACATGGGTTAGATCCAACTCAAGAATGATTTCCACAACGTAGCACCGATCATTTTCGGTGACGGATTTGCAGGATGCATTTGTGCTGTAATCTCTCACCTGCATGGAGAAGTTGTGTTTTGCACCACCACCACCAAAGCTATCCACAGGAAACTTCGTTCTTCCCCCAGCCTCTTCAATAATTTTTCTGCAGAGATAACGCTGAAGCCTATTTCAGGTCTCTCTTCTTCTCCTCCCAGTCTTTGCAACAGTCGCTTTAGAAAGCCATTTCAAGATATCACATCACAGAATTGTAGGGGTTGGAAGGGACCTCCAGAGATCATCGAGTCCAACCCCCCTGCCAAAGCAGGTTCCCTACATGCACCATCCCCTCACAGCTCAAATTTAAATTATTTCATTTGTGACATTATTTTGCTGGAGACATCTAGTTACTCCAGTATTTAAGCATCTGGAGAAGTGTGCTATATTTTAACATTAACTGGATCACAGCTAAGATTGCCAAATTTCTTGCTCAAGTTGTAAGCTATGCTTTAGATGAACCACGGGTGACTGAAAAGTGTTTTGCAATGAGTTTGTAAGGCTTAGATTTAAAACAAAACCTCACAACAACGAAGCATCACAACTAGCAGCCCAGAACACTACAGAAATTCTGGTTGTGAAAAGCATCTTGCAGTCATGGAAGTTACTTGCTACAGAATTGAAAACCTTGGCACAAGGTTGCTCATGCACAGAACTACTGCCTCTTCTACCATCTACGCTGTCTCTTATTAGATGTGCTCTTCCTCCTCCCCTGCCTACACTAATGTTTTGGGTTCTTTCCCCTCCCCTCTATGGTAAGAGCTCCCTCAACAAAGCACAGAGAAGATGGGATGAGGGGTGCATGTCGTCCAGCTTGCTTAGAAC